TAACTTTTAAGGAGAAGCATAAGGGCTGGAGTGTGTGAGAAGGGCTGGCTCGGGACTTTAAATAGGGTCATTTTGGAAAGCCTCACAGAAAAGGGGACATTGGATCCAAAACTTGCTCTTCCTTGAACGCACCAGGAGTGTGTTGTCCTCAGGGCTTTTGTGCAGCCTGGAATGTTCTCCTCCAGATATCAAAGGCCCTCCCCCCACCACCTGCTGTCTAGCTCACTGGTCAGGCCTTTCCTCATCACCTTCTTCTTTTAAAAATGAGATTTAACTGACTCGTAACAGTAAATTAGCCTCAGGTGACAATGTAATGATTCAATATTAGTGTATCTTGCAAAATGATTGCCATGATAACTTTGGGCCACATTTGTCACCACACATAGTTACAGTTTTTTTTCTTGTGATGAGAACTTTTACGATCTACTCTCTGAAAACAGGAATGGATGGGGTATCCATTCTGGAATGCATGTAGATATGTGGTTAAGGACATACATGAAAATCCATGTTTTTATGAATGTTCCTTGTGCATGTAGTTCTGAACAGTGCTGTTTTAGTGAATGGATGTGTAGACAATTCTGTGATGCATGTAGAGAAGGTCTAGCAGCACATGTGAAAAAGATATTTCTGAGAGTATTACCTGAAAAAAATAACAAAATTTTACCTTCCTAGCAACTTTCAAATAGACCTGATCACTTTCTTAAACACAAGCATTTAATGTCCCAACTTTCCCTTTTAGCACTGTTTTTTCTGAACCCCACTTTTGCTTTCATTCAATTAAAAATATTTTTAATTTTTGACTTTCCTTTTGACTCATGGATGTTACTTGACATCTGAATGTTTGCAAATTTTCCAGACATTGGTCTGTGTTTTCTAGTTTAATTTGGTTCTGATCTGAGAACATGCTTTGTGTGATTTTTGTTCTGTTATCTTCCTTTTTATTGCAAGGGATATTTTTGGGGGTTCACCAATGGATCCCCAATACCTAGCACAGGACCTAACACATAGTAGGCAGTCAATACATTATTTGTTGAATGGATGAATGGACCACTGGAACCCCCATCCCTTTTGGATGTATCATGAGATCGTTGGTCAGAGGTGTTGTTTTTCTCCCCTGAGGTCACACAGCAAAAATAGGACAGTGCCCCGGCCAGCCTGGGCCCATGGTCTTATGTTATACCCAGTGGATGGGACTGGTTTCCACTGCCAGCTCCTCAGTGCCTGCTGTGAGCTAGGCCCCGAGGGATGGCCTTGGCCATGTGCCCATCATTCCCACACAGTGAGACCATCCAGTCTTTGCCAAACTTACCTTGCTTCAGGGGCACCCACCTCAACAGACGCCTCTGATAGGCAGAGATGCTATTGGTCTTCTTGGCTGGAGTGCCCCACTCCTACCTCTGTCCTCTCCCTCTTCTCTGACTCCACATATACACACACATGCTCCCCATGTGTGTGCCACATGTGTTTGCTGGGCAAACAGCGCGCTCTTCCTTCTCAGACTTCTGCATCAGTAAAATGGGACTGTCTCCATCATTCGGTGTAACAGGGGACAGCCTGGCCCCCAGGCTGCTTCCTCTGGAGAGGGAGGCTAGTCTGCTGCCCACCCATCAGCTAGGGCTGGAGCCACCCACCTCCCCCTGTGCTGGGGACAGTTTCCCATTTGGGGAGACTGCTGATGGCCAATATTGACACTGTATGACGAGGCATAAATTCTGTTTTGCAGAGGCAACTCTTGTTCTGAGTCTCTTTTACAGCAGCCCAGCCTGATACTCTAATTTGTACATGGGCTGAATGGCATTTCCTTGTTTTTAAAGTGAACTTGAGTTGTATTTCCTTTTATTGGTAGTGGAAAGCCCCTAAAAGGGGAACTGGTGTCTTGTTCTTTGGGGTATGTAATACTTTCCTATGGTTATTATACCAAATCATCATAGATTTAGTGGCTTAACACAACAGAAGTTAATTCTTTTATAGCTCTAGAGGTCAGAAGTTCAAATTGTTTCATGTGATTTGAACCAAGGTATCTGCAGAGCCACTTTCCCCCAGACGGGGAACTAGTGGGAGAGGCTGCTTTCTTGCCTTTTCCAGAACTGCCTTCCTTAGTCTCATGGCCTCTTTCTGTGTTTTCCAGGCCACCAGGATAGCATCTACCTTCAGAGAAAAGAGAGGGAGGGACTTTTGAGGTAAGGAGACATAGAGAACAGGCCATGTGAAGATAGAGGCAGAGGTTGGAGTGATGTGGCCACAAGCCAAGGGATGCCAGGAGCCCCCAGAAGCTGGAAGAGGCAGGAAGTTCCCCCCCAGAATCGACAGAGAGAGCACCACCCTGCTGACACCTTTATTTTATTTTATTTTTTTAGACTTCCTTTTTCCCTCAAAGAGAAGTGATACATTAATGAAATATTAAAAAAAAAAAGAAATTAAAAATCCCTGATGAACCAAATATCAAAAGTTTAAATCAAGGCAGACCATTGTTTGTTTTTCTTCTAGCTCTATTGAGGTTAAATTGACAATCAAAAATTGTATATATTTAAGGTGTACAATATGATGAGCTGATATACATGTACATTGTAAAACATTCACCACAACCAAGCCAACCAGCATATTCATTACCTCACACAATTACCATTTTCCTTTTTTTTTTTTTTGGTAGTGAGAATATCCAAGATCTGCCCTCTTAACAAATTTTAAGTACACACTACAATCTTGTCAACTAGTCACATTGTTTTCCCTAGCACTTACTCATCTTGCATAACTGAAGCTTTGTAACCCTCAATCAACATCTCCCTGTTTTCCCCTCCCTCCAGCCCCTGGGAACCACCTGTTTGCTTCTACTTTCTGCTTTTATGAGTTTGACTATACGCGGGGAAAGGAGAGAAGCAGGTGGACCAAGGTAGAAGTTATGACCATAACTCAGGTGAAAGATGATGATGGCTCAGACCAGGAAGTGACAGGGGCTCAGATGCCAGGTGTGTGGTGAAGGGAGAGCAGACCGCACTTACTAACATTCGGCCAGAAGATAGGAAGACCCATAGGCCTGGGTGTGACGCTAATGTCCCGGGGGCTGGACTCTATGTCACCGGACTGAGCTGAGACTGTTGAGTGGATCACCTCGCTGTGGCCTCCTGCGGCTTGGGCCTTCTCCCAACATGGTGCTGGAAGTGTGTGTTCTGACAGACCCAGCTGGAAGTTTCTGGACAGATGTTACTTCCACCACATCCTATTGACTACAAGAGAGTCACTAAGGCCAGCCCAGATTCAGTGGGAGGAGAAATTAGACTCTACCCCTTCAAGGAGTAGCATGGTAACATTGCATAAGACCATGCAGGACATGAGATATGCTTGGGAATATCTTTTGAAAATTCACCCTTTGCCATATCTCCTTGCCATAACCATGGAATGCGAGAAAAAGGAGGAGCCCTGGATATTCCTATCACTGTTGCCCTACCAAAGGCTGGTGGCGCTCCTTTTGAGAAATACAGGCAGGCTGCCCTCTTGGGCAGAGTTCTCCAGATGGCTTCAGGCTGGTTAATCCACCACCTTCGCTTGGTTCACAGGAAACTCCCACATCCTTGCTGCACCAAAGACGCAACCACTCCTACTGCAGCTCCTTTTTTTTATGTCCATCCTTTCACCTCATGCTGTTTTGGGTGTGAGTCAAAACCTCGTCTTTTGGTTTTCCCATGGTTGAAAGCAGTCCTTTCCCCTTTCTCTTTAATTTTCACTTTTTAAATACCCACCAGTCAGCATCAAGCTAAATGTGAAAAAGTTTCCTTTGCAAGTTCTATATATATGACTGCAGTAGCCAGCCTTCAAGATGGCCCCGATGATCCCCACACCTTGGTGTTCCTGCCCTTGTGTTGTCTCCTTCTACAATGACTCCCTGTGACAGATGGAGTAGAGTGGAGATCATAGTTTGGGATTCTGGGCTAGGCCATAAAAAGCACTGTGGTTTCCACCTTGGCCTCCACTATGTGGTGAGGACAGTCAGTCAGTCCTTTGGGAGGCTCCCGTGGTGAGGACCTGTGGCCTTCCACCAAGGGCCATGTGAAGGCACCCTCTTGGAAAAGGCTCTTCTAACCCCAGTTGAGCCTTTGAATGACTGCAGCTCTGCTCAACATTTTGACTGCAAGCCTGTGAGAGATTCCAAGCCAGAACCACCTAGCTAAGCTGCTCTTGCATTCCTGAACCACAGAGACTGTAATTGCTGCTGTTGTTTAAATCACTAAGTTTTGGGGCAATTTTTAAATGCAGCTGCAGCTAACTGATCCAGTGTCCTAGAACTTCACTTTGGATAGATGGGAGTACTTAGCCCCTATCTCTTTAACATCTTATTACAAATGTGACCACCTCCAGGAGGCCTTCCCTGATTGTCTCTCTACATTAGCTCCCATCCTATCCCATTACCTTGTTTTATTTTTTAAAAAAATAATAGTCACTATTGGAAAGACAATAAAATTATAGTGTTTATTTCTATATTTCTTTACTGGTTTATTTCCTCTCCTGTCTTGATGGAAAGTTCCATGGAGGAAGGAGCTTATTCATCTTTTCCACCCAGGGTTTGGCACTCTGTAGAAACTCACGTGCGAACTGTTTTTATTGTTAGTTCTATTCATGAACTCATATTTCCATTTTTCCAAACCCAAGGTCATCCCAGCTCAACTTCTTCCCATCCCCCAACCCAGCTACGACACTGCTCTTCATCTCAACCACATCCTGAATCACAACCCTACCCCCATGTCCGTCACTGTTCCTGACCCATCTTGAGCCCCACCCTCACCCCAACCCAAACCCTCATGACAACTCCAACCTTGATAAAAGGGTGTGTATGTGGCGGCGGAGGGGGGGCCTGGGGGAGGTCCCCATCAAGACAGATTTGCATGTACTTACCTTTAAAGAAAAGGGAACTGAGAGGTGCTCGAGAAACCTGAGCAGGAAGGACAAGGGGCAGAAGCTGCCAGGCTCTGGCTGTACCTTCTTAGTTTCTTCTGTTAGCTGTGGCCATGCATATGCTGTATACTAACTCTGGGTGCCAGAACCTGCCAGGTATGGCACTGGCCAGATGGGCTGGGAGCCAGGGGTGGTCAGGACCCAGGTCACAGTATCTCTACCCTAGGGTTCAAAACTGGGGCCTGAGGGACAGAAGAGGAAATGGGCTGGGTGCTCACTTGCCTTTTCTCTGGAAGGGACCAGACAGGAAGAGGAGGATGCTGATGACTATGAGAACATGGCGCCTCCCTACAAGGACCTTCCTCCCAAGCCAGGTAAGAGGACTTCTCAGAGGCTAGGCGAAGAGATGTGGTTTGTGGTCTGGAAGTAGAGCTGGGTCTCCAGAGAACACTAGCTGAGCTTCGTAGATTCATGGTCAGCTTCCTGTGTACTTGGCCAGTGCCAGGCACTCTGACAGCAGGAGGACCTGTTCCTCTGCTCTGCCTTTGATGATGTCTCAGGCTGATGGGGAAGTAAGTCCTGGGAACAATCCCAGGTGAGGAGACCTAAAGGCAGATAAACCGGGAGACTGGAGAAGTCCTGAGGGAAATGGAGGGCTCTGCCTGCCAAGGTGGGAGGATTGGGGCTTTAGAGGAGAGGACATCGGAGCAGGACTTGAAGGATGAGGAGGAGTTTGTTAGGAAGAGATGCTCAGAAGAGAAATGGTGGATGCAAAGACCCACAGACGGGAAAGCCAGTGTTTGAGAAACTAGAGTGGACCACTGGTTCTCCAACCTCCTGACATGCACACCCAGGGCCCAGATTTGCCTCTAGACTGGAATGGTCCACACCTGGCCCAGGAGTCAAGAAGAGTCTGATTAGTGGGTATAAAACTGGAGATTTTGGAAGATCCTCTGAATCAATTCCTTTCGGGGCCCCTGAGGAATTGTGCTGACTTAGTGACTGTGGACAGGGACCATTCCATGTGGGATGGGGCTCCACATCCTCCACTTAGAGTCTAGACTAGGGCCACCTTGGGAAGCCTCAGGGCTCTGAGGGGCTTGGATTGAGGAAGTGGGTGAATGGGACTCAGCTGTCTGACTTCCTGTCTCCAACTCCAGCCTGGTCCCAACGTGGTTCTCAAACCCAGCTCCAGACTAACCCCATCTGCATCTTCAGGGCTGCCCTTTCCCCAAACTTAGCCCCTTCCCCGTATCCAAGTGTAGCTATAATATCTCTCCATCCCCATCTCCATTTCCAGATCCAATGGTATCATCACACCCCAACACAATTACAACCCAACCTCAACTTCTTCCCTTTTTTCAAACCCAAGTTCATCCCAGCTCAAATTTTCCCCTATCCCCCAGCGAAACTGTGACCCCGTTCTTCATCTCAACCACGTCCTGAATCACAACCCTACTCCCTTCAGATTGTTTCAATCAGGAACAACAACAGCAACAACAACAACAACAAACCTTTGATGGTAGGGGTAGGCAGATCGCTCAATTAAAGTTCTCTTGTCAAGACCAAAACTATTTGTTTCTCCTGTGTTTGGTGTTTTGTGTGCATGGAGGATTTTCCCCTTGATTTCAATGGCATAATAAAAAAAAAAAAAAAGACTGGGCTTTGGATTAAAAACAGGAAACAGCCCTACTCCCGTGTCTGTCGCTTTCCCTGACCCATATTCAACCCCATCCTCCTCCCACTCCAAACTCTTATGCCAACCCCAAACTTGACTCCATCCCCATCCCTAAACTTACCCATGTCTTTAATTTAGGATGACCAATTCTTCCAGTTTGCCCAGGGACAAAAGATTTCCTGGGATGAAAGATTTCTGTTTTAAAACTGAGAAAGTCCTGGGTAATCCAGGATGGCTGGTTATTGTACCTCAATCCTGTCACCGTCTCTAACCCCCATTTTATGCTTATGCCCAACCTCATCTGTTACAACCTCAATCTGGTTTCCATCACTGCCTTCAGGCTCATTTTCATCCACAGACCAGCTCTAATTCTGAGCTTCTCTTCTTCAGGTTCATTGGCTCCCCGAAGGCCTCCAAGGGCAGGTGAGCTGGGGCTTGGGGTACAGGAGACCCAGTGCTGGCTTTGTCCCACTCTGGGCCTGAGCAACCTTTCCTTCCTCCTCAGGAAGAAAACCAGAGCCCCCTGTACTTCCCCGCAAGCCCCTGGAGATCACAGGTGAGAATCCAGGGCTGGGACTTTTGTGTTCACCTGGCTGACGTCTTGCTCTACATGAGCATTGTCTTTCTGACCCCCTCCAGGCCTGGATCTGACCCCCATCACCCGCACATCTCAACTGGGTGAGCCATGGGAAGACCCTTTGGGAAGCCTGAAAGGGGACACCTGGAAGGCCTTTCCCCACTCCCCCAATTCTGACTAGAATACAAATCGGAGGGGATAAAGCCTTGTTTATCTTGGAAGACGGAGTCTTTCAGCAACTTCTGCATAAAACTCTCTCCTCCTTTCTCCCAGGCATCTCTCCGGAGCATCCTCCATTCCAGCCATCCCAAGCCAGTAAGTAAGTCCTCTGTATGTTTTCCTACCTCTCCTCTCACAGTGGCCAGTGTGATTGAGCCAGACCTAGAGTTCTGGAGTGAGACCGTAGGGTAGAGAAATGTTTCCCTTCAGAAGCTACTTCTCCCTGAGTGTAGACCAGACACCCAGGGGCCCCAGGTGTCTGCTGTGTGCCCTTCGGGGCCCACCTCCTGCTTGCATGTAAGGTGCAGGAAACATTCTCTGCACCAGACGCAAGAGTCCACGGGCTTCCTTGGACGGGGAGCAGCTTGGGCAGGAGCTTCTGGAGCGCAGAAATCAATGCGTTATAGAGGGTGAGGACAGAGCTGGGTCCAAGTCACACATGACCTCTCAGTTTACTTAGGCACATCCATGTCATAAGGGTGAGGGTCCAATAACATAATAAGGCTTGGCACACAGGAAATGCTGCATAAATGCTCTGGGCTTCTTCAGGGTTTTCTCTCCCTGATACGCTCTTGCTGACCCCATCTGGTGATATAGCCATGACCATAGACCTCTGTCTCCTTGCTTTTGGAGAAGGGTTCAAGGTTCCTTTCAGCACTCTCTTAAGCACCAGTATTGGTCTCTCTCTCTCTCTATTCCCCCTACCTCCTGCCCCAGCAACTCCAGTGCCCTGGCTCAGTCAGAAATCTGGGGATCCTGGGTGCTACCAGGAGGAGAGATGGGTGGTTTTCCTGTGTCTGCTGGTGGTGGTGTCACTGTTCCTGGCCTGCACTGGTCTGGCTGTAACCCTGATTAAGTGTGAGTAAGGTGAGGGGGGGCACGTGGGGAGACCGAGGATGGGGTCCAGGGGGATTGGGCTCAAGCTGGACTCCTTCTCATAGACCAGGAGGTGGTGGAAGAACTGAAGATGTTAAGCTTTCAGCAGAGGGCATGGCAGGAGAATGGTGAGTGTGTCCAATTGTCCCATGTGCCATGCATACTGAACAAGACCATGATCCTCAAACCCAGCTCCAGGATCATCTTTGCCAGGCACCTCATCAGGCACCGGGGTGGAGGTCGGGTGGGTAGGATGGCGAGCTCACTAGACACAGGCCCGGGCCCTGTGGACTGTGTGTGTGCGTAGACCTGTGCTGCCCCACCTGGCGCTCAGAAGTTCCTGTGGCTGCTGAGCACTTGAAATGTGCTCGTTCTGAATTGAGACGTGCTGTAAGTCTAACGCACACACCGATTTCAGACTTGCTACAAAAAAAAAAAAATCTTAATAATATTTATAATAATAATCTTTAATATTGATTACAAATTGAAATGGTAATCTTTTGGATATATTGGGATAAGTAGACATAGCATTCAAAGTAATTTTACCCGTGTCTTTTGACTTTAAAAGGTCTGACTATTAGAAAATTTAAAATTACCCATGTGGTTCACTTTTTGTTTCTGTTGGACAGCACAGGCTTTAAACAGCTGTTTACCAAATTATCACCTCCATGAGTATAACAGTTCAAATTTTGATGACTGGTCTAAAGGAAGAGAAAGGTGATTCTATGAAAAAGTCTAACAAGGGGTCTTGGCCTTATCTTTGGGAGGGTCATACAGGGCTTCCCTCAGGAATAGTATTGCAGCGGAGTGAAGGAAGAGAAGGAATTAACTAGGTGAAGGGGTGAGGGTCTCAGGCATGCGCAAAGGCCCTGTGGTAGGAGGCAACATTGTTTAAGCACGAGGAAGGAAGGTGGTGCAGTCGGACAGGGGAGAGGTGACAATGACTCGGATGAGGATTGTGGCTGAGGGGATGGAGAGAAGTGTGTGAAGGGAAGGGCTTAGGAGATAATGTTGCCCAGACCTGGGGATGGATTGCCTGGGAATGATGTTGAGTGAGAGGGAAGGGTGTCTAGGTTGTTGTATGTCTCTCTCCCTATCTCTGTCTTTTTGTCTACCTATATCTATAGATCTTATATTTCTGGCTCGTCTAACTGAAGGACCACCTATTCATGACCCTAGGGAGTGTTGGAAGAGGACGAGTTTGTGTGAGAGTGGTGGAAATACACACATTAGTTGTAGAAAATTTTCCGGGCTGGCACAATCTTTGCCATGCCCACTGGAGTCTGGAAATTGCTGCGTTCCGCACTCCCTCCGTCAAAGCAATGATCAGTGGCTTCTCACTGCCCAGAATCCGATACAAAACCCTTCACGTGGCGTTCAAAGAACAGGACATTGGCCCTCATCCTACTCTGAACTCAAGCTCCCATGAAGCTCCCTTAACCTCTACTGCACCAGCCTTTCCTAACCTAGTGGCCTCTGTATCTTTGCTTCCAAGGTGCCTGTTGTGTTCCATGCCCTCACAGTAACTGAATCACTGTCTTCCTTCAAAACCCACCTCTTCCAGGAAGCCCCCCATTCCCATTCTTTCTAAAGCCCCAGAGATCAGTCCTTTCTCTGATTCCCCCTGGCAGCGAGTATGTTGATTTTGAGTTGTAGTACCACCGACAAGAACGTGGGTGCAGAGGGGAGCATGCCTTTTGCTGCTCTCTGCTGTGCCTGCAGTCCGTGGTGGCTGAGTGGGTAGATGGGGGTTTGGGTCTCTAACCTTCCAGCCCTCCCTGCTGACAGTGACTGGCATGGCGGGGCTCGCTGGCCTGAAGAAGGACATTGACAAAGTAAGAGCTGATACCAACCAGTCCCTAGTGGAACTTCGGGGCTTATTAGGTGAGTGGGACTTGGGGAACTATTCTGAGATGGGGGCATGGCAAAGCTGGCATATTGCACGAATCCACGGGAGCAATTCTCATTGCAGTCTATCCTGTTCCCAGACGGTGCCAGGGTCACCTGCCCTGAGGGTTGGCTCGCTTTTGAGGGCAAGTGCTACTACTTCTCCCCAAACACCAAGTCGTGGGATGAAGCCCGGAAGTTCTGCCAAGAGAATTACTCTCACTTGGTCATCATCAATAGCTTCGCTGAGCAGGTGAGCTGGACCCTCCAAGTCCCTGAGAACCGGCAGGGCCAGCCGGCTTCTCTCCCAGGCTTTCACGTCTTTCCGTGGCCTGGATGGATGGAGGGAATTGGAAATGCTATTGAGCCATGGAAACTTTTCATAGCAAGCTCTTACTGACCTAATATCATGCAGAGGTCAGGAGGGTATGCTCAGCTTGAGTTCAAATCCTAGCTGTGCTTACTTATTCTCTGCAAGTCTCAGTTTTCTAGCTCCTAGGTAACACTCCCTATTCTCCAGACTGTATTCCAAACATCTAACATATTACCTGCATTAACATCATCCTCATAAAAACCCTACAAATTCTTGGTGTGAGTCAGGAAAAGGGTGTGCTATGCTGAATTAACAGTCCCCACAGCTCAATGGTCAAAGTGTCTGGGGCAAATCATACAAGGACTCCTATAGTCCCCCCTTGCACGCGCTTACATGGGCAGGCCTGGGCTTTAAGGTGGTAGGGAAACAATTCTACCTATGCACATGTAGAAGGGGAATCGAAATATTTGTAAATAATTTTATGACTTAGTACTACTGCAGTTAGGTAGTAATGACATTTGTGCCCAGCGTATATCATTTGTATATCACAGACGAGGAGGAAAGGGCACAGTGCACTGAAGCAACTTCCTTCCCTGTGGTCGCTTATAAGTAGTAAATGTCAGAGCCAGGACTGGAGCTCAGGTGTTTGTATGGTGTATCTTTTCTTATCCTTTTACTTTTAACCTATTTCTGTCATTTTTTTTAAAGTGGATTTCTAATAGACAGCATACAGTTGGGTCTTATTTTTCAAAAATTCAATCTGACAATCCCCAGCTTTTAACTGGTGTTTTTTAGACCATGTTTATTTAAGGTAAGTTTTGATTTGGTTGCATTTTATTAAGACAATTAATTATGTGCTGGCTGGTGTGGTTCAGTGGATTGAGCTTTGGCCTGTGAACCAAAGGGTCACCGGTTCAATTCCCAGTCAGGACACATGCCTTGGTTGTGGGCCAGGTCCTCAGCTGGGGGTGTGTGAGAGGCAACCACATGTCGATGTATCTCTCCCTCTCTTTCTCCCTCCCTTTCTCTAAAAATAAATAAGTAAAATATTTAAAAAGATAATTAATGATTTATTATTAGATTTTAATTTTAAATATACTAAATGCATTGATTTATTATTATTAAGATTATTTATTATTTAATTTTTTGTCTTGTTGGTCCTCTCTGTATTTCCATTCTTCTGCTTCATAGCCTCATTTGTATGAGCCGCTAATATAGAAGGGTTTTGGGGGGATTAAGTTAGATAATGTGCGTGGGGAAGGTATAAATCATATTCCCTAATTCAGGTGCGTAAGAAAAATATATGTTTGTTTGATTTAAATAATTCATTTAGTTGTTTTGAGCTCCCATGACACTTGGATTGCGGACAGTTGATCTTAGTCATTTGGGGTCCTCCATTTTTCTTCTGAATGGGCAGCTGCTGTGGAGTCAAGGCGGAGGGGGCCCGCGGCCTGGTCCTGGACGTCTGTCCACCAAGCTGGCGTTCACTGACTGAGTGATCCGGGACAAATTATTGAGCCTCCCTGTGCCTCAGTTTACCCATCCTAAAATGGCAATAATAATGGTACTTGTTTCTGTGATCACAATGAGGATCAAATGAGATAGTCTGTGCAAAGCACATAGCTCACTTATTAATTTATTGCCTCAACCGACGTTTCCTGAGCACCCTTTATGTGCTATGTGCTAGACAGTACTCTAACCTGATAGGTCAAACAGCCCTTCTGTCTTTCTCGTTTCCTGACACCTCTCTGGGGCTTTACCTAGGAACAAGGGTCCAGGTCCCCTCAACTTTTTAGAGTCTCCCACCCTATCTGGGGCTTTGGCCGTCACTTGGGGCTCACTGGGGAGGAACGCAGAGCCTCTCTCTCTGGCACCCACCATGTCTACAGCTTCATCGCTTTTTTTCCCTTTTGTGTTCCCTCCTCTCCAACTTTTAAAGAATCTTAGTACTGAAATATGATTGGATGAGTGAGGTAAGATTTGCATATAGTAAAATGCACAGATCCTAAATGTACATTCAGTTTTGATATGTGCATACAGCCGTGTAACGGGCAACGCAGTCCAGGTTTACAACATCTCCCCACTCCCACCCCAGGCAACTGCTCAGCTGGTTTCTCTCACTGTTGGTCTGTTTGCCACGACAGGAGTTGTTTTTAATCTTGATATTTTCTTCCTAATCTTTTGTCTTTGGCCTAAGTCCTTTCTCCCAAAAGCCTGGGCTTTTGAAACACCAAAAGCAGGCATCCCCACTACTCTCTCCTCTCGCCTCTTCACAGAGTTTTTCTGAAGCAATGGGTTCCTCTTCTGCCTGAATGCAGGCCAGGACTGCAGGGTGGGGTGGAAGTACCCGGGAAACCAAGATATCAGTTATTATTAAAATGTCCCTTAAATGTTATCATGTTAAATGTGAAGACATCACAGTACTTACTGTGTGTCAGTCACTGTTCTGAGCACTTTATCCTATTAATTCATTGAATCCTCGCGACCTTATGAGGAGGTAGCTATCGTTATCCCATTTTACAGAGAGGAAACAGCTGCCGAGCAGTTCACAGATCATGCGAGAAAGTAACAATTATTCCCAATGCACGTGCTCAAGGAGAAGAAAGGTGCTGATCCTGCTCTGGATGCCAGAGGGACTGGGAGGGACTTTGGGGGTGGCATTCAAAAGCTCTAAGTGTGTGGGACAGAACAGAGGGTCATGCAGAAGAATTGATGGATGAATAGAGTTTGTACCCGCAGAACTTCGTGGCCAAGGCTCACCGCTCCCCACGGGTGTACTGGCTGGGGCTGAGTGACAAGGAGCATGAAGGAGAATGGAAGTGGCTGGATGGGTCGCCTGTCACTTTGAGGCAAGTATCTAGAATTCTTGGGTTCTCTGCTCATTGTGGGCCCTTGTGTGGTCCAAGCAGCAGGTTCTCTAGAGTCCCGGGCTGGACTGGACAGGGAGGCACAGGGCACTGTTTTTCTGATAGGGTTTCTGGTCCTTGCACCTCTTTAATTTTCTCCCACTGCAATTACCTCTACCTATTAGCCAACTGCTCAAATATATCAAGTCCCTAGTTGGAGTGACTATAGGACAAGAGGAAGTGGAAGATTTTGAGTTGCCAAAAGAATGAACAGGATCTCATTTTTTCTATAGTCTACAGGTATTCACCCATTTATATATTTAATCTTAATGATCCTGTAAGGAATGTAAAAGAAGGGGAAACTGAGGCACAGAAAGGTTAAACGACCTGCCCAAGGTTACACAGCTAGCAGTTGGCAATGCCAGCCAAACTGGCTCATGTTAAATGTGAAGACAAAGTCTTCAAAGTCTGTTCTCTTAGGCATTAAATTTCACGTTCTAAAGGAGTACATGTATTTGAATTTTAAATACATATAAACAAATTGTCCCCCACACTGGTTATACCAATTTAATCTCTTAGCAGTTTGACTATAGTTTTTTGGCCCACATGTTCATCAAACTTTTGGAATTTTGTTGGTTTAATTACAGGTGAAAAATAAAGTCCCAGTGTAAGATTAATTTATATTTCTCTTATAGTGACAAAACACAAATGTTCAATAGCCATATGTATTAACTTTTTGGTGACTTATCCATTCATATCTTTGTTTTTTTCATATTGGAATTTTGGTCTTTTCTTATTGATTTCTAGGAGCTCTTTATATATTAGAGACATTAGTGTTTTGTCCGGGGATCTCGTTTTTTTGTAATGGTCCTTGGAAGGAGGCGCAGCTCCATAAACAAAGGTGGCACCGCATGGCGCAGCACCGTGGGTGCCCTTCTCAGATCCCTTCCTGGGGCTTGTGCAGCCATCTGCCAGCAAAGGGCACTGGCTGCAAAAGGGTCACAGTTATGCTTTCTCCAGATAGTTGTCCTCAGCTGAATGGAAGCCTTCTCACCTAGAAGGTCACCCTATTCCCATTGGGGTCAGCCCACAGCCAATGACTGGCTAAGAAAAAGCTGGACAACGTGTCTCAAGCTGGGATAACTCTGTGATACTGCTCACGCCCCCAAGGTCCCTGTGGGACCAGGCTGAGGCTAGATTCAGCTGAACCCGTGTCCTCGCTCACCTCCGTCCCGTTCCCCATCCTGCTTCTCTTACTCCCTCTTTCCTGAGTGTCTTTTAACAAGTACCTTGCACCTGAATCACCAAATAAGGATCTGTCCTGAAGTAGGACTTCAATACTTGGAAGGATGGGAGAATTAGGAATGTAAAGGAAGTGTTCTTTGGAAGAGGAGGCAGACATTGACCAGGTCCAGGTACCTGATTTGGGAGGGAGGAGGTGGGGCTGAGTTAGGACAGGCAAGTTAAGGTGAAGGAAATAATGCAGCATCTTCAGATAATTCTGAGAGGCTGGGAGAAGTGATTCAGATAGAAGAGAGAGTCCTGTACAATGAAGGCCTTTTCCCTCAATTAAAAAAAATCAATAGATTTAATTAATTTTTTTTTAATTTACAGAAAAATTGGGTTGAAGGTATGGAGGTTTGCTATCTATATACTCCTCCAGCACACGATTTCCTCTGTTATCAACATCTTGTAGTTGTGTGGTACATTTGTTACAATTGATGAACCAATATGGACATGTGATTATTAACTAAAGTCCATACTTTGCATTAGGGTTCGCTCCAAGTGTTATACATTCTATGGGTTTTGACAAATGCATAATGTCAATGCCATGTGTCCACCATCACAGTATCATGCAGAGTAGTAGTTTCATCGCCCTGAAAAATACCCCATGCTCCACCTATTCACCTCTCCCACACCGACTTTTTCTCCTGTTCAGCTTCTGGGAACCAGCGGAACCTAACAATGTTTATGACGAGGATTGTGGCAGCATGAACACAGGTGGCACTTGGAATGACCTCTCTTGCAACAAAGCTACATACTGGATTTGTGAGGGGAAATGTTCCTGTTGAATCCCAGGGATGAGACTGGGTGACTGGATGGGGGTCTGTGCCTGAGTGCCCCTTGGCTCTTAGAGATGAGACCCTCCTGCCCTTCCATGGAAGGCCCTGCCTCTCCACGAATCGATTTGGAGGCACCTGAGATGGAACCCGCAGCCTGGATGTAGCAAGTTCCCTGGGGTGTAAGTCAGACTGTTTCTAGGGTGAGGACTCGGGGGCTTGTTCAGTTGGATGGTGTCTTAGTGTGTTCAGGCTGCTTTAACAGAACACCATAGACTGGGTGGCTTATAAACAAGTTATTTCTTGAAGTTCAGAAGCTGGGAAACCCCACCTCAAGGTGCAGGGAGATTCAGTGATTGGCGAAGGACTGCTTCCTGGTTCATGGATGCTTCTTTCTTCTGTGTCCTCACGTGTTAGAAGAGACAAGGGAGCTCTCCGGGTCTCTTTTTATAAGGGCATTAATCTCATTCAGGGGTGCTCTACTCCATGACCTAATCACCTCCCAAAGGCCCCACCTCTGAACACCATCACGTTGGAGATTGGTTGTTAACATACGAATTTTGGGAGGGACACACATTCAGTCAACAGTCAATGGTGAGCTGCAGGGACACCATGTCTTAGTGATGATCTCCCAGTTCTGGGATCTGGAGAAAGCTTGCCAAGTCCTTGATCATGGTACTTAGGAAGTGAGGCTTGTCCTGGGGACCCTGGGTCTGACTGATTTAACTGGAGCTCAAAATAACCTGGGTCCTCTGAACCGTGAGGGACTGGGAGTGGGCTCCCTTACTGCCTATCTGATGTGCACCAGCTACTGGGAAGCAGGTGGGGCAAGATTATTATTGACAGGCAACTTTTTCAATGTCCCAGGTGAGGTTTGACCAAGCTAGGTGGTGGAATCAGACCTCTGTTAGATTTGGCCCATGGAACGTCTAGAAAGGCAGACCAATTGAAAAGCAAGTCTCCCCACCCACTGTGGCCAGGCCGGGCCTTGACTTGGTCAGATACTCAGAACAGCAATGGAGACATCTACCCACATGTGCCTTTGAACTATTTGTGGTTTGTAAAGATCTTTGACGAAGTATTTCACTTTACTGCCAAGTGGACCTTCTGGGACTATTAGCTCTTGCAATGTACGAGCTTCTCAAAATGCCAGTTCATTGTGTGGTCCTTGCCCATTGTGTTAGTTTGCTGGGGCTGCCATAATAAAGTACCACAGACTTGTTCAAACAACAAAAATATATAAAATATATTGTCTCATAGTTCTGAAGAATGGAAGTTCAAAATCAAGGTGTTGGTGTGGTTGATTTCTGGTAAGACTTCCCTCCTTGGCTTATGCATGGCTGTCTTCCCTCTGTGTCCCCACGTGGTCTTCCCTCTGTCCATGTCTATGTACTAATCTCTTCTTATAAGGACTCCAGTCACATCGGATTAGGCCCACACTAATGACTTTCTTTTACCTTAATTACCTCTTTAATGACCCTATCTCCAAATACAGTCACATTTCGAGGTCCTTGGGGTTAAGACTTCAACACATGAACTTTTCTGAGGGGGGCACAGTTAAGCCTGTGACACCCACTAAATGCCAGAGGTCCCTCTCCCAGCCATTGTGACAATCAAAACCATCTCCTAGAAAGCTGGTACTACCCCCAGCTGAGCACAACTCAACATGGCAATTCCTGAATTGTACACAGGAATGAGTAGACGTTCTCCAAATCAACTAATTGATTGACCAGCAAATGCCCTCGACTATTAGAATGGTTCCTGTTTTGACTGCAAGCAGGCAATTATGGAAAGGAGGCTCTGAGTGGAGGGGAGTCGAGAGGGAAGTCGGCATTCATTTCATTGTCTGTTTCTTCTATTCTCGTCTCCCCACCACCTCCACACCTGTCCCCAAATAATCAGTACCAAAAGTAGCCAATAGACTGACTGCAGAGTGGGTGGGCATCTTGTTCCAAGCTCTCCACCCAGGGGACCTTTGGTCCAACAGACTGTTCACCTGGGGTTAGGGGAAATTCCAGCATCTCCGAAGAGGGAGCTTTAGTTTCCCCTAATATGTGGGCTGAGAAATGGGGAAGCTGGGGCCCGTGCCCATGTCTCTGAGACATGCTAGGGGGCCCGTGGTGGAGCTGGCCCAAATCTATCTTGCCTCTCCATCTCCCATGATTGTCTAATTTCAGATAGAGGTGCAATTGAAAGAGGTCCCCTTTACCGCCATGGTTTCCAAAGCATGTATTTGCTAGGTAGATGCAGGAGCTCTCATTCAGTCTTCACAATGACTCTGTGAAGTTGCAATAATGACCAACCCCATTATTAGCTGGAAGAACTGGGGCACAGGGGTTCATGTGTCATGGTTTATCCATTGACATTTAGTGGGTAAGTGACAGAGCTGGTCTTTGGACTCAGTCTGTGCCTTCAGTGGCTGATCTCTTTCTGCAGCCCTTGCTGCCTTTCAAGGGACTGTCTGTTAACCTGCTGTATTTCTGAGGACGCTGACCTGGCAAGCTCTTGTTTCAACTGGAAGTTAAGGAGAAGGAACAGCATGGCTTGGTCGAACAGGCATCCTGGGCTCAGATAGGAGACCAAGAGTTATCTTCTGGGTCTGATGGTGATCATCTTGTGGGGCTGTTACCATAATGCAGGGGAGGGATGACGGGGACCCAGGGGCTAATTGTGAAGGTCAGAAGAATTCTGGCTCTATTTCGAAGCTACAGCTAATCTACTTGACGGTTTGACTATGGGATGTGAGAGAAAAAAAAGAGTAAAGGAGAGCCCTCAGTTTTCAGCCTAAACAATAGAAAAGATAGAGTTGTCATTACTTAGACAAGGTGGAGGAAAAAAAAAAAAACTTACGGACACAACCCATTGAAATGTAGGTGATTTATGAACTTGCGCTGAAATTCTTAGAACTTCTATTGGGTCAGGAATTGAGTGTTGTGTGTAGCTGGTGTGGTCGCACCCTGCTTATATCCTTGATCCTCATGCTTTCAGTGACTTCTAATGGCCAGCAGCTGCCACCAGAGTCTGGAATGTAGCAGGTGAGGAGGGCTGGGGAAAATGCTCCCTGGAAAAGATCTTACAAAGCCTGCACTTGGTGGGCATGTAGCCCAGCTCCCTCACCCCTCGGGTGACATGACTTTGAGATGGGAGCCCCATGTCACTGCCTAGTGGTCTTGGCTGGGATGAAGCTCCCATTGCCTGCAGCAGTAACCTCTTCCATAACATACCTTTGAAGGCATCTTGGACCGGATGCCTTTCCCTCCCTGACTCATTTCTTCACACTCTAGCTGGGGTTTCCTGGGATTACCTCCAAAACAAAGTATTTGCTCTTGAGTCCTTGTCTCAGGGCTTGCTCTTGGGGCACCCAAACTAAGACATTACAGGACAGGAGAAGACAAGCTTGCAACATGGTTCTGGTTTGCTTGGGATGGAGGGGTTCCTGGGATGCTGAACTTTCTCTGCCAAAGCTGGGGAAGTCCTGGGAAATCTGGGATGAGCTGGCCACATTTATAGGAAAATAGTGTGGTATCAGGGAAGTCAAAAACAGAGAAAACTTCAAGGAGAAAAGCAGATGTAGATGAAATCATCACTTTGTATATTTTAATTATTCATAATTTTTAGTTGTTAGTTATACCTCAGTAAAGTTGGACAAAACCCAAAATACTTGATTATAAAAATAAACATAGAAAAAGAGCCCTGGCTGGTGTGGCTTAGTGGATTGAGCGCCGGCCTTCGAACCAAAGGGTAGTCAGTTTGATTCCCAGTGCAGGGCACACACCTGGGTTGCAGGCCAGGTCCCCAGTACAGGGAGCATGAGATGCAACCACACATTGATGTTTCTCTTCCTCTCTTTCTCCCTCCCTTCCCCTTTCTAAAAATAAATAAATAAAATATTTAAAAAAAATATAAAAGGAGATCAACAACATCAAATTAGGTAAGTTAGAAGGGACTGAGAAGCAGCCAGTGCACTTAGCCCTGGGGCAGCATCAGGACATTGATTGATTCTTGGGCACGTTGGAGGCGGAAGTCAGGCTGCCGTTAAGCTGAGCAGTGATGTGATGGGAGGAAGTCGGGACAGCAGAGAGCCAACTTTTCTAGAATTTTGGCTATTAACAGAAAGAGAGGGATTGTGTATTACAGTAGGGAGAATTTTTGGGGTAGGGGGACCTGAGCATGCTCCCCTCCCTACTTTTATACAACCCCCTGTAATTCCCATATTAGATCTCCTGGGTCTCCCAGACTGATTTTTTTTATCCTTCATGATTTTTGTCTTTTGGCCTTTTGCTTTGTGCTCTGAGATATTCCACGTGGTCTTCTAAGCCACTTATTTGACCCTTGATAGAGATCATTCTCTTCTTTAATTTATCCAGCAAAACTCCTCTTTTTAATTATTCTCATTTTATTTAGCTCCATAGATCATTTTGGTGCTGAACTTGAAAGATTTTAGACTCTTATTTTTGTTTTTCTTGTTTGAAATTGTTGTCTATTCCAGGAGCCCCACTTGGCTGGGTGTCCAGTATGTTGGACCATCCTCTTTTCAGGGGTCTCCAGGGCCTCTTGGGGTTCTCGTTTTCTTTTGGAGCTCAGAGCTGGAGGTTGAGAACTTTAAGCAGTGGCAGCTTCCCAAGTTGCGGAAGGAGAGGGACTCTCCATCCCAGGGGGTCCATGTGTGCAGCAGGCAGGGGCCTTTCTGTTTCCCTGTCTCCTCACTTCCTACTAGACTCAGGACAGGGTTCCTCTTGGAGTTCTCGGGGGCCAGAGGGATCAGGCACACACTCATGGGAGCGATGCTGACTTTATCCTGGGAGGCCCCTGGACCCTCTGGGCTAGGCTCTTCCTAGGATGGACTGTGTTTGATGTTCACCGTTGTGTGCTCTTCAGACTGTCTTGCAACAGTCCACCTGGTGTGTGGGAGATCTTTCAACCTCAGATTTCTCTTCGGGGATTTCCATCTGTTATGGGTCCCAGAACACTTTTGGTTCAAAGAAGGAGGTATATTAGGGTATGGAGTGAAGGGCAATTGAAGCATGTGCAGGTGTCCATTTTCCTAGACTCTTCCATTTTGCTTTCTTTAGCACAGGGACAGCAAACTATAGCTTGTGGAGTGTGGAAATGTCAAATCCTGCCTGCAGTCCTTTTTGTATGATCAATGAGTTTCTGTATTTCTAAAGGGATATACACATATATCCCTTTACACATATACCACATCTATCTATCTATCTATCTATCTATCTATCTATCTATCTATCTATCTATTTACCTACTTACCTACCTACCTATCATCTATGTATCATCCCTATCACTATATATGGCCCAGAAGTCTAAAGTATTTATTATCTGGCCATTAACAAAGAAAGTTTGCTGAGCCAGCTTTAGCATAAATGCCACTGGAGAAGAACCAGGAGAGAGGATGTGAGAAACTCAGGAGAGAGGGGAGGTAATCAATGGAGAAAGGCCTGCCAAAGAGACAGGAGAGGATGAGGTCCAAAGCACAGAAAGGGGTAAGCTTTAAATAAGACAAGGGACCCTGCCTTTGTTGTGGAAGAATGAAGGGGAAGACAATGGGCATCATGAGGGATGGAAGCAAGGATGGGTATGGATGTGGGTATATTTGTAAGAGATGTCAGGAAATTGAGGAACTTTTCATCAGCTGGTGTTTATTATCTCTGTGAAGTAGGAAGCAGGGTCTTATATCTGATGTAAAGGGGAAAGTCATGTGAATTGAGGAAGGAAGTGAAAACAGAAACTCTCCATGAAGTAAAGTTTCGGGTAACATGGAGGGTCTTGTTTAGATCAGAAAGTACACATTTGCAATGGTTCTGAGCTGAGTGATTCTGGGATCCTACTTCTTTGATGGGGGAGTAAAGGAGAAACATGATTGGTTCATAAAGAAAGGTACTTTGGGCTGCAAGTGACAGATGACTTGACCCAAAGTGGCTTAACGAAAGGAGTTTGTCTTACATAGGAAAAAGCCCAAGGGTTGGTTCAGCAACTCAACAATGTCATAAAAGCTCAGATTATTCCCATCTTTCCACTCTTTCATCTTTTATCCAAACATCATATTATAATAACCCCAAATAGGAAGTCATGGTCAGGCACTCCTTAAATTTTTCTGTTTTTATCAAGGAGAGAGTATTTTCCAGTAGGTATTTCTTATATCTCATTGGTTACAATTGGTACAAATGCCCATCCTAAACCAATCTGTAACAAATAAGAATAAGATCATTATAGTTAGTTAGGACCAGTGTTTCTCAACTTCAGCACTACTGACATTTGGAGATGAATAATTCTTTGCTCTCTGTGTGTGGTCTGTGTTATGTGTTGGAGGGTATTTAGTAGCATTCTTGGCCTCTATCACTTAGATGCCAGTTGCATCCCACCTTACCCCAGTCATGACAACCAAAAATGTTCTCCAGATATTGAAAAATGTCCTTGGGAGGGTAATCCCCATCCTCCACCTCCAGCTGAATATGACCGTTAATAAGGAACATATGATAGTGGTGATGGCCCCTGAATAGACAAGGCATAGAGCCTGTCACTTTGGATTGCCGCTGGATTGGGGTTTCCACAGGTAGGTGTAGAATCAGAATGAGAAAACAAAGGTGTTCAAAGTGTGAGAGAATCATTTGACCTGGTTGATCATGAGATCTAGACTGGATAAGAAAGGTCATAAACCTGATGGTTTGAGAGAATTTAAAGAACAAGTTTAGGATGAGTGAAAGAGCTTGAGAAGAGGCCTTCAAAAGGACCTCCTCATTTACAAAAAGTACTTGCAGTGGTCATAATTTGGGTAACCAAGGACAAGCATTGATTAAACAAGAGAAACCCAATTCAAAATACATCTATTGAGAGCCATTATGCATCACAAACACTTCAGGAAGTACAGGTTAAACATTTCTTCTCCAAGAATGATGTGTATAATGAGTTCTTTTGTTCTCAGCTTCGTTCTTCACAATGCCAACCAGATGCATGGATATGACTTTCCACGTGAAGCTGAATGCTCTAGTTTTAATATTTTCACTTCATTTGTTCTAGAAAGACATCCCCCCCGACAAAAGAATTTTAGATTAAAGTTGGATGTATAGATAACACAAAACAAACAAACAAACAAACAAACAAACAACAAAGCAGAGAGGAGGAGTAAGAGTGGGTTAAAACTAGAGGGCCCCATCCACCAGGCAAGGATGGCATGATCTCCTAGTATTTTGGAATCCTGCATAGGTGTGGCCTTAATTTATAGGGGGAAGATTTCTCTAAAAAATCCAACATGAAGAATCATTTCTTTGAAAAAATTTTTGGACATAGCATCCCCCTCAAGAATTTCAGGCCTTTTGATCTTGGTTTTTGTCTATGAAGAAAGGTTAGTGTCTAAGCTTCCTTAAGGTAGGGAATGTGTTGGTCTTGTTACCTTCTGTATGTGCATTGCCCACCATAGTATCCGACAAATTGTAGAACTCAACAAATATTCTCTTGGCTCCCTACAAGTTACAGCTTGTTTAGAAGCCCCAAACTTCACCGGAGAACCAAAGTCTCCTGTAACAGCCCATGAAGTTACGAGTTCCTGGCTAGTTATGAGAGCCATTGTATGCAGAAGTCCACAGCTATACCTTCCTTCCTTATATTTGTGGTTTGTTTACAAAACTCCCTGTCCAGTCAAGCATTACTTTTCCCATCCATGGTATTGTCTGGTTACACAACTGACCTTCCAACATTAGCAAGTTTCTAGGGAGCAGAGAAAGAAAATTAACCCAAGGCCAAATTAGTTCATAGAAAGGGTTTTGTAAGCTTTCACTCATGCCATGTGCCTAGAAAAATAAAAGCTCAAGAGGTTCTTTTAATTAAAGAAAATGTATTTTTTGAAGGGAACTAAAGTGTTTATATATACATTAAAAATGCAAAAATAAACATATATTCTTTTTTAAACATATACTCATTGGGTTCTTACAATATTTACTACTACTACTACTACTACTACTACTGATTATAATTATAATTATAAACCACTAGCTGGAGTGCTAGCAACTTTGGAAATTATTTTGGATTACCTGGCAAACTTTTCAAAAGTCACAGGCAATGGTTAGCACCTTCCACAATTTTACTTTTATTGAGAATGATTAAGTCTAATAGTCATAAATTTTTTTCTGACCATCTGACATGCCCAAGACTTTTTTTTTCCTGGTCACATTTTCCTCTTGGTCCTTTTGGAAAAATTTTCAATGAATTTTCCTTTCCTGCCTCCAATAAGGTACAGATGTTTCTTCAGTGACCTCAACATTTCTACTGTTGGAGAAAGTCACATATTATCTTAATAAATGTATATGATGATGTATCAAAAATTTCTCAATTTTGTTTTAAAAATAACTTATTCTATGCCTTGGCTGGTGTGGCTCAGTGGGTTGAATGCCAGCCTGTGAACTAAAGGGTGGACATTTCAATTCCTAGTCAGGGCATGTGCCTAGGTTGTGGGTCAGGTCCCCCGTAGTGGCGTATGAGAGGCAACCACACCTTGATGTTTCTTTCCCTCTCTCTAAAAATAAATAAAATACAATCTTTAAAAAAATAAAATAAAATAAAAATAACTTATTCTAAGGCTTTTTGGCTAGCAGGTGTGATAGGTATGCACATGGGAGGCATAAAACCAAATAAGACTGAGAGAATTTTTATGGATTATGAGCTTTGAGCCCATCTTGTTTGTCTAGTGACATAGCTTCCTACAAGTATGTCCTCTCATTTCTCAACAAGAGCAAATAAGGAACAGCTATGGAGAGGAGTCTCAGATAGTGCTTGAAGCTCGTTCTTTGGTGCATTGAGCCTGAGTTAGTTCAATGGAATAACAGACAAATACCAAAAACCAAGTAACAGGACCATTTCTTCTCCTAGGAAGGTCCCATTATTCTATGCATCCCTCCCTTATAATTGCGTTGAACAGTGGGGATGGAGTTCCTCCCCTGGAGTCCTTTCCACGGTACCTATCAACTCAACCTGGCTCATGTCCACCTCTCTATGGGTTAGTGGGATTTCAGATGATGATGACTGCATGTCTAAGATTATGTCTCCTCCTAAAGAAATCTGCTTTAGATGGTAGTGGTGCTGAGGATGATTTCTTTTGTTCTCAGTCCGTACTTCTTTGAATGACAAGAATAGACACTAAAGTCAGTTTAAGCATGGTGAGTGAGCAGGGTCACCAGGAACAATATAGTGAGAATGAGGAATGCTCACCGGGTCATCAAGAAAAAACACTTCCCCAAACCTTCTAGAAACAGAAGTTCGTAGTAAGACAAGGAGAGGAAGTTCGGGGTTAAAAGGGGGAAGCATTAGAATAAATCCCAAGTCCTCTTACCTCACTAGATTTAGAGTAAGCAGCAAACCTGCTGGAGTGTGTAAAAATCTCAGACTCAGATTTAGGTTTCATGACATTTCCAAACCATTTTCGAACCTGGAACATTAAAGGAAATACCAGGATGGTTTTTGTTAATATCAGAGAAGAGAAAAGGCAGAGTTGGGAAGAAGAAAGTGACATCATGAAAAAAAACTTTTCCTGCAAAATGTGGTTTATCCATACAATAAAATGTTACCCTGTCTTCAAAAGGAATGAAATTCTGACACATGCTACAATGTGGATGAACCTTGAGGATAATATACTGAGTGAAATAAGGCAGTCACAAAAGGACAAATACAGTATGGTGCCATATGTATGAGGCCCCTATAATAGTCTAATTAATTAAGACAAAAAGTACAGTGGTGGTTGCCAGGGGCCTGGCAGGGAAGAACGAGCTGTTAGTGTTTAACGGGTATAGAGTTTCAGTTTGAGATGATGAAAAATTTCTAGAGAAGGATGGTGGTGATGGCTCTGCACAATGTGCATGTGCTAATGCCACCAAACTGCACACTTAAACATGGCTAAAGTGGTAAATTTTATGTTACGTATATTTTACCATAATAACATTTTGCGTATTTCAGAATCTTTGTTGGTGAAAACTTACAAAATATGCTTATGTGGGAGAAGAAAATAGAAGTCACACATAATTCCTCAATCTAGTAAAAGACAATTGATGTTTTGGTTTGGGGTCCCTCACAAGCAGACCCCAAGAAAGGGTTCAAGTGTAAAGAGTTGATTTGAGGGATGATCTCCTGATGCACTAGGGGATCAGTGGGGAAGTGAGATAGGGAAGGGAAGGCAGACAGTAAAAAGTACCTAATCTTTTCCACTGAGTTTCCACTTGGACAACTGGGGCTCAATCTCATTGAGGAGCTCTGGGAAATAGCATAGGAAATATCTCAGAGTTATTCCACCCAGGGGCCAAGAGATCTGGGACATTTATCCACCAGCTCCCACCAGCATTAGTTGATAGCTGCTGTCAAGAGCTATTACTGTCTGGAACCACCAGCTTGTCCCGTGCATGGGCCAGGCATGCCCTGTGGGCAGTAAGAAGCCCACAGCCCTAGACCCATAGGTGTTCACAATAAGCAACCCTGGGAATGTCGAGATGAATGCCTAAGGGACCTGAGGGAGCCATGAACAGTATCTACCACACCAAGGTTTCCAGCCAAGGTTTCACACCAAGGTTGACATCCTGGGTTGGATCATCCTATGTAATGGGGCTGTCCTATGCAATGTAGGATGTTTAACAACATCCTTGGTCTCTACTCACTAGGTGCCAGCAGCGTCTCTCTCTCTCTCCGGTTGTGACAATAAAAAATGTCCCTAAACATTGTTAAATATGCTCCCCTGGGATTGTTTGAGAACCCATTATTCTTTGCCATGTACACCCATATCCACCACCAACAATAAATGTTTATACACATTATATAAACAAGATGCAACCCTTCTGGAGCACCATTTTGAAACTTGCTTTTTTCCTAATACATTTTGGATATCCTTACAGTCCCAAAGTATTCTTGCACCTGGACAAAATTTAACATTTGAAATGTTTCAAGCCTATGCTTGTTCTTTGCTCTCCAGGAAGTGTTGGCTCTTTCAGCTTGGTCTTCCTCTCCCTCACCCACTGACTTCCTCTTTTAGTTTGGTTCTTTCGGCACCTGAATGCCGACTGAAGAAGAAAAGGAGGGAAGGAAAAAGGGACGGAAGGAAGAAGAGGAACAGAGAGAGGAGGAGGAGGAGAATAGTACTAGTAATAGGAAAGAGCGTGTGTCAGCCAGGACAGGTTTTGCTACAGTGAAAATGTCAAAGTCTTAGTGGTTGAACTCAACCAAGGGATACCTGGGCTATGTGTCTCCTTCATGGTATTTGAGAAGTGCTTGTATAAAGACCTTGAGTGATTTTGTATTTCTTCTGGTTGCTGAAGTATGTTCATTTGGCCATTGTCCCTCTTGACCTGGACCATGTGGACTCCAGCTTCATTGTGGTTTCAGTCTTTTACAATATATTCATAGTTGTATAGTATCCTGTTCTGTAGAGGTAGTGTAATTTAACTAAATCTAAGTAGAAGTTATGTCCACATAGTTCAATAGTATACAGTAGGGTTTCATTGTGTCTGGGGTTCAATTCTGCGGACAATGTGCTGTGCACATTATCCCTGAGTGCCCCTCAGTAAGTAACATCTTATAGGCTCATCTCAACAAGCCCAAAGTAGCCAGTATTTCCTGAGTGTTGGACACACACCACTGTTTTTTTCATTCAGCTATAAGCACATGAATTGGCTTGTATTTAGTAGTCATACTGAACATAAAATGTATATCTTGAAAAATGGGAAGCTCACACTATAAGATGCCTTAGGAATTGAAATGAACTGAGGGAGAAGTACATATATAAGTCTTCTGCATTGTGCTCACTCAGGTGCATACATACACCAAGAAGAGTTGCATGTAGTTTTCTTTGACTGTATGTGTAAGCTACAGTGGCTTATAATAGAGACGGGTAAATGGATGGATAGAAGGATGGAGTGTGGATAGATGATGTAATGCAGTATAGCACAATGTTAATGTAGATGAGTGGTATACAGCAGGCTTTTGAATGATATTATTTCATTCAGTGTTGTTCTGTTATAATGTTGATGAAATGCTGTAAGAATTTAACTCTTTACATCGATTAGCCTATGGTAAAACTGGTTTCATTCTATGTTGTTTTGCTTAAGACTGCAGAACTTATTGATAATATTAAGTGAAGACTTACTGTATATGTGTTTGCTGCATAATTCTTTCAACTTTTTTGTGTGTTTGAAAATGTTCATAATAAAATTTTCAAAAATTTAGCTTATTATGCATATTAAAACATGTTAGTATTGAGACTACCACATGGAAATATGTTTAATAATTCATGTGTTTAACCACATTGGTTAGTATCATACTACCACATGGAAATATGTTTAATAATTCATGTGTTTAAGTAGTGTGGTAGATTGCATTATTGATCCTAATTATCCATCCCCCTAAAGTACTATTACACCCTGTCTTAGCCTCATGGTGGGTGGTGGGGTTTTTTCCTTTGACTTTCGGCTTGGACCTGTGACTTTCTTTGGCCAAAGGGATATCAGTGGAGGTGATATAGGCAGAATCGCAAGGCTTGAAATGGCCTTGTCCAGTAAAGTTTGTTTTCTTGTGATTTTGTCATTGTCATGAAAAGAACTTATGTAGGGAAACTGCTCTCTTTTCTTTCAAGCCTTGGGAAGAGTCACAAAGAGCAGATCTGAATATACCTGCATTGTATAGCCAAGCCAAGCTAAGCCTAGCCAAGATCAGCTGGACTCCAACCACCTGCATACTTGAGAATAAGAAAAGTAAATATTTGTGTTTAAGCTATTGACATTTTTTAGCTTCTCTGTTACACAGAAATAGCCATTACATATAGGAAAGCTGAGGAAAATCATGATACTTCCTTGATGTGGTAATTATTTAATTTGTGAAAGCTATGAGTAAATTGACATATTTTGCCCTGGCCAGGGAGCTCTGTTTGTTAGAGCGTCATCCCCCTACTCCAAGGTTGTGGGTTCAATCTCTGGTCAGGGCACATACAAGAAGTAACCAATGAATGCATAAATAAGTAGAAAAACAAGTCAATATTTTTCTCTCTCCCTTCCTCTCTCTCTCTCAAATCAATAAATAAAAACAATTAAAAAATAAATTGACATGTCTCACAATCAATAGTATCTTAAAGTAGAGAAAATATAGGTTGTATTTACATACTGTTCACAAGTTCATATGAAAATTTAGCAAACATGGATCTAAATGTTCATTAAATTACATATTTGTGAATTTTTCTTCATTTAAACAATAAAGAAAGGGGTAAAAGTTTACCTGCTGGCTGAGGAGGCAGTACACCAGGAAGATGAAGATGCCCTGCAGGCTGTTGATGATGGTGAAGAGATAGGCCATGACACGGGCAGCTGCGCCCACCTGCAGGACTCCCAGACACCACGTGCAGCCCAGGATGAAGAGCTGGGCCATTGCTTTAAACGTCAGCATCCTGGGGAGAGTAGAAAGCTAAGAATGGATGTGGACACTCCTGTGGTGTAGTTCTTATTGGTGAGGACTCTGGAGCCAGACTGCCTTGGTTTAAAGCCAAGGCAGCACTAATCCACTGTGTGACATTGGGCCAGTTACTCTGCCTTTCTGTAACTCAGGTCCCTCATCTTTATAATAGTCCTATTTCATAGGGCTACTGCAAAGATTAAATGAGACTTTAACACAGGTATTTAGGACGGTATATAGAACAAAGTCAGTGCCACATATACAGAAAACATTCTGAAACTAGGGGCTCTTTATCTCTTTCTCTTTTTTAGGTGGGGGGTGGGTCATATACTTTGTTATTCAAACAGGATGAAAAAGGGTGTTATTAATAGTTACAATGGGTCAACAGGCATAAACAGGAACTGTCCCAGGCAAACTGAGATGTAAGGTCACTATATATCTATATATATACATATACATCCCTAATTTTAAACCATAATGTTTTATGTGAGAAAAGCTGGTTGAGGAATGATTTCTGTAGTGAATGTGTGCACGTGTGTTCTATAGAAATGCACAAAAAAAAATCTCTGGGGAAAATATCACACATATTATATCATACTTATCATAAAATGTGTTAACTCTAGCTTTCATGGGAATAGCAGGAAAAAGGGGGGTATCCATTTTCACTTTATATATTTTTAAAAATTTTGAAAAAATTCAACATGCTATTTTGTGATTAAAATGAAAACAGTAAATTATGTGTTCTAATTAAAATAGATACCACAAAATAAAAAAAAAGTTCATAGCCCCCAATTTTTTAAAAGAAATAGTATTATACAAAATATATTTTAATCTAAATCTTTTACAAATCCATTACACACAACTCTTAGGGATACATTTAAATTCGTTATTATTAGCCAAACCAGGCTCTACCTGTGGGATGAACCCAGTTTTGTTGGGGCATCCTTCAGAAGTGCAACTCCTAGAGTTTCTATAGAATTTCAGCTTTCAGCAACTGATGGGGTAACAAGCTTAAGCTGGTTGTTTTTGATAAAAAAGAGTACTCCTGTGTGCATCTTGTGTTGTGTGGCAGAAAATGCTGTTTTTTTCCCCATTCTCTTCCTCTTCCTTTTAGGGTTAGATCTCTTCCCATTTTGAGTTTTTTCAAGGACATATGGCTACCTAGTCAGAGACTGCATTTCCCAGCCTCCCTTGAAGCTAGGTGTCACCATGTGACTAAGGTCTAGCCAATAAGAAATGAGCAAATGTGGACCATGCAACTTCCATGTCATCTTGTTCCCATGGATGGGAAACTGACAAAGACAACATCCTAGGGAATGGTGGAGAAACACAGTAGAAAGAACCTGAGTCTCTGGATCACTTCGTGGAGCAGAGCTTTCCCACTAGTCTTGGACTGCTCACCTCTGGACTGTGATATGAGAGTAACATAAACTTCTGTTTCACTCTTTTTTAGTGGGGGGCTTTTCTGTCTCAGCAGCTTAACCTGTACTCTCTCTAATACAGACATTGGGAGTTGGAAGTGGCCTTGCTAGTCCCTGGAGCCTTGCTGTGGGGTGTCCATGGGTGTAGATATGTAGGAAGGACAAGAAGAGGTTGAGCAGAGGAAGAGAGGGCCAGAAGTACCACTTGTTCCATTTTACCTTACATTCTGGATGGTTGACACTTCGCTGTTGAGGGAGGAGAGTTTTCTTTTCAAAATGTAAAGGACCGAGAGAAAAAACACTAAATTCACCTGCAGGAATGATGTAGACCAGGAAGAATGCAAATTAAAATAATGTGATTTGTTCATTATAAATGGCACACAGCTCCTACTTTCCCAACATGGGACTGAATTGGTAGCAGGTGGAAACCATACAATAGAGAAAATGCATGGCCCTTGTAGTGTCCTGTACCCAACATTTATGGTGCTTCAGCCAGGAACACTGGAGCCACATACTCACACAGATAATGGCACAGACAGGGCCAAGGAAACTCCAGATGAATCCTTGCTCCAGTTGGAGCCAGCAGCTGAAATAATGGGAAAAGGAACTCAAAGAGAGATCAGAGAAAGCACGTGAAATGAACATGAAGTGACACCCTTTCCTGACAGAGTACTTTTCCATCATCTGAAAATGTCAGCTGATGGATGACAATGAAGGTTTTGATTGTTCACTACCATGTGTTAATGCTCCATTAAATATTTTAAAAGCACAGTCCTGTTGAATTTTCACACCAGCATCATGAGGGTGGAACAATGGGGATAATTGTTATCCCCATTTTGCTGAAGAGGAATCTGAAACTTGAGAACTCTGAATTATGGGAGGGATAAAGCTGATATCTAAGCACAAAACTGCTTCTTTTCAGAATCTTCCAAGCTCTTACCGCCATGTTTCCCTGATTCTTTGGGGGAAAGATCAGCACTCTTATCCTCTAGGGAAAAGTAGAGTGCGTTTGCTGCGGAGATCTCAGTCACCGTCATCAATGCTGACCCCAAACTGCTCATGGCACAGGGTGAGAATCAAGCTCACCAATTAGGCGTTCCATAAAGGTGAGGCCCGGAAGCTGCAGAAATGGCCACAATCACAGCCGGGACTCCGTAGCCCACAGGGAACATGAACTTCATGAACCTGCTCATGCTGGAGTAGTTGACCGCCGTTAGGTTGCGTGCGGTGAGGAAGAGGTGCAGGCCCTCCAGCAGCATCCAGGTGAAGGCGGCCAGGTAGAGGTAGTGCAAGGCACCCGCGATGATGGCGCACAGCACCTGGGGGAGAAGTTAGAGTCACCAGGTGGGATACTTAGGGTGAAGTATGACCTGAGAACCTCTCCTTTATATTGGCATTGAGTTCAGAGGACATGACATTAGACAAAGGTCATCAAATGTAGAAAAGTTTGGTAATCAATGTCAGCGTCGCCCACCTTGGCACCACGCCTCCAACCTTTCCCAGGACCCAAGGACATTTTATTAAGGGGTTACAGCATGGCCCCATGAACTCCACATCCCCTGGACAAGTCAGAGGATCCTCTGGGATGGCGTCGGTACCTTGTGCTCGGTTCTGTTGATGGCCGTGAGGAAGAGCAGGTGCGCCAGGAAGAGGCAGATGCAGAGCTGCAGGTGGAGGGACGTGCTGGTGTTCTGGATGGCTTTGCACAGCAGGAAGGTGAGGGCTGCCAGGAGGAGGCACAGCAGGGAGAGGCTCAGCCCTACGTGGGTGATCACAGCGAGGGTGGCATCCTCCTCCTGGGACCAGCAAAGAGGAGATAGCAGTCACATTTTCCTGCTCTGGGATTATGGTTTTCCCCCTTTGGAACAGGGCATTGTAAACACAGGCACAAAGCCTGGTGATAGAAAGTGTGAGAGGCGCCTGTAAGAGTAAGGCTTTTTCCCTCGGCTTCATTGAGGTATACCTAATATAAGAAATATTGCACATATTGAGTGCACACATTTTGATGAGTTTATAAGTAGGCATATATCTGTACTATCATCCCCACAATCAAGGTAATGAACATATCCATCACCTCCAAAAGATTTCTTTGTGTCTTGTTTCTTTTTTCGAGATTTGTGGTAAGAACACAACAATGAGACCCACCCTCTTAGCAAGTTATTAAGTGCACAACCCCCTATTGTGAACTATAGGCTCTATGTTGCATAACAGAATTCGAGCTGAAAGGAATGGGTATGCCAGACCTACTCAGTCTTGCGCACAAGAAGTCCCGTGTAATAGAGGCTATTAACCTCTTTACACTGAACTATATCTGCTCTTTGGCTGCTTTCTGTGAAGCCCTGTGACTCTGCCCGAGAGTATTTCCCCTGTCTCAAGAGTGTGCTTGCATGTGCCAGAGCAAGTCACGAGTGCCAGGGTGTAATGACCCTCAAGGAACAGTTGGGGAATTGGTAGATAAACATGCCACCTCTGATGGGAAGGCTCTGAGGTGCATACCCGATGACATCTCCCAGAAGTACCCAACGGGATTGAGCCCCAGTTGTCCATGGGGATAACTGTCTCTTTGATGCACCTTTTCCTGGGTGTCTTCTCTTCTCTCTCACTTCCCTACTGTCCTACTGTTGTTTCCTGGCTTCACCTTCCAGAGAAACTACCTGCCCTCAAATTCTTTTCTCAAAATCTGTTGGTGTGAGGCCCCAAACTTAGATACCCTACTTCATTCAGCTCTCGGGGACTCATTTCATTAAAGACAGGGACCAGGGATCTGCTGAGCCATACAGACTTAGCCAGACTCACTAATGGGAAATGATACTCACCAACCCTTATAATTATATGGAGATTTTCATTTTTAATGTCACTTTATAGAACTTTTTAATCCTTTGTTTTTCCAACCTTAAAGGTGGGAAATATAACACATATACAGAAAAACACAGAGAAGTCAATCTACCATATGATTAATAATTATTAAGTGAATACTGATCATGAACTAACCTGTGGACATTATCCCAGATGTTCTTCCTAACTGCAATCCACCACCTTCTCCCTGAGAATAGCCATGGTCCTATTATGATAAGTTTTACCACCTATGCATTCAATCCCTGAGAATATAATTTAGTTGCGTCTGTTTTCCAACTTTATAATGACGTAACAATACTCTGCTGCACAAAGTCACTCAGAAACCCGAGACAACAGAGGCCCTGCCATCTGTAGCTGTACCATCTGGAGTATGTTGCTTCCTCCTCACCCTTGGGTGTCCCACATGGAATTGTCTATGTTTCATCTCAGAAAAGTAGCATTGTTTTTAATATCCCCCCAAAAGGAAACAACCTAGATACTCATTAACTGTGGAATGGATAAGTAAATTGTAGTATAGTCATGCAAGAGAATATTACACATATACATCAACAAAAATGATTAAACTAAGGCTATGCCCAACTCAGATGAATTTCATAAATGTAAGAAAAAGAAAGTATTTTATGTTTTTAAACCTATTTTAGTGTCCCCACGGCCCTGTGTAATAGGAGAGGTCAGCGATTTCCACCACGTGTTGTTCCTGGGGTGCCACTTCCATCCCTGAGAAGAGCAGAGGGATGTAGGACTTCCTGTGTGCTGCCACCCAGCCCGTGTCATCAGTGAGCTCTCTGACTCCACCTCCAGGATGTGTGTCCTGTCTTACTGTCTCCTACCACCTCATTGCCTGACACCTGAACCCTGACCACCATCATGTCTTGGGGAGGCCACTTTTTTTTTTATTCTCCCCCGAGGACATGCTTATTGGTTTTAGAGAGAGGAGAAGGGAAGGAGAAAGAGAGGGATAGAAACATCGATGTGAGGGAGAAACATGGATTGGTTGCCTCTTGTATGTGCCCTGACTGGGGACTGAACCTGCAGCCCAGGCATGTGCTCTGGCTGGGAACTGAGCCCACAACATTTGGGTTTACTGGGCGATGCTCTAATCAAGTGAGTCACACCTGCCAAGGCTGTGAGTCCACTCCTGACCACTGTTCATTCTTGACCTGAGAACCAACGGGATCTTCTAATGATGCAAATATGCAGCATCCATCATGAAAACCTTCCATTGCCTTCCAATTGCAATTAGAATGAAGTCTAAATTCCTGACATGGCATATTTCTCCTGCCTCCATCTCTCCAATTGGCCCCTTTCCAACTCCTCACATTTACTCTGTTCCAGCCACATTTTTCTTTGGAACATGCCAGATTTGTTCTCTCTTCAAGGTCTTTACGCATACTTGTGTTTCTTTGCCAGATGCTCTTTCTGAGGTCCTTTCCTATGGCTTTTTTTTTGATTGAGGTAAAATCCCCCAAATATAAAATTCACCCTTTTACAGTGTACAGTTCAATGGCATTTAGCACGTTCAATGTTATGCAACTGCTACCTCTGTGTAGTTCCAAAATGTTTTCATCACCCCAAACCTAAAACCCTGTGCCCACTAAGCAGTTAGCATCATTCATTCTTTCCCCAGCCCTTGGCAACCACCAGTTTGCTTTCTGTCGCTATGGATTTGCCTCTTCTGGACATTTCATGTAAGTGGAATCATACAACATGTGGTCCTTTGTGTCTGGTTTCTCTCACTCAGCGTGATGTTTTCTAGGTTCATCCGCATCGTAGCACTACTGACTCGATATTCAGATTGCAGTTCGTATATTTAATCCTCCTCTGACCACTCTATGAAACGCGGCACACCTCTGCAGTCACTCCAGTCCCTTGCTCGTTTTCATGCTCTTTATAGCACTTTTCGCCACCTAATAGGAGTTCAAAAAGGATTAGCCAGAGGAATTAAATGTTTGCATCATACCTGGCTGGTGGGGGCCACGAGGACAGCGAAACTGGACAAGTGAGTGCAACTGCATGTGGTGTGACTCTTGTTCACCTGTTCCAGGGAGCAGCCATCCCTGGACCAGTGGCCACCCTCCTCTGTGCTTTTCCAGAAGACGCAGGTGACATTTTGGCCCTGGAGGTTCGTCTGAAAATAGAATGGGCTCATTGTGTTTTTGCTCAGGAGGAACGGCTCTCAGAGTGTTGGTCTATGCGAGGGTGGAGAATGAGAGCCGTGGCTGCGAAGTGACTCTGGTGATTTCTATTTCAGGCGAAGGGGATGGCCACCAGGACACCTGTTCCTATAGCCCCGCCTCTGTTGGGATTTTGCAAAACACAAAACAAGGTCATTTCTCTCTGTGGAAGCCAGAATTTTATAAGATGTCATGGGTTTTATGATTTCGTCCCCTACCATGAGAGTCAGATAAAAAGACAGTGTAAGGCTCACGCTTTTCATTCAAGTTTTCTCCCAAGTAGTCTCCAGGCCAAATTTCTCTGGTCCCCCCACCCTCTCCCCCACCAAAACCAAACCAAACCAAGCCAAACCAAACCAAAACGAGCCAAAAACAAATCTTTCCACACCGGTTCCGTCCCTGACAGCAGCGCAATAATTGCTCATGCAATGTGAGGGGTAGAATAGGAAAAAAAAAACAGCACCAGGAAACAGAGAATAAATTAGCCTCCCACCCCTTCTCTTTGTCCCAAGGGCTCTAGAGCGACAGGTCATGGGGGCAAGGAGACGAGTGAGGTGCTTCCCTGTTTGGGGCTTGGATCCCCTTTGATTAGCCACTGGGCCATTCCCAGGTTCTTGCTCCATTTTCTCTACCCCATGCCATACATCAGAAATTCCATACCTAGATTTTACGCATTAGATAGAGAAAACCTACGATTCCCCACCTTTCCCCTTTAACTCTTAAATTTATATTTTAAAATTAGATTAACTTTCCTGCTTTATTGAGACATAACCGATGTACAACATTGTGTAGGTTTAAGGTATAAAATGTGATGATTTTTAAATATATATATATACACATATACATATATATTGAAATGATTACCATCATAAGTTTAGTTACCACCCATCACCTCACAGAGTTACAAGTATTATTTTGTGGTAAGAACTTCTAAAATCTACTCTCTTAGCAACTTCCAAATATACAATTCAATCATTATTAGCTAGAGTCACCATACTGTACGTTAGGTCCCCAGAACATATTCTTCATGTAATGGGAAGTTTGTACCCTTCGATCACCTTCATCTACATCTCTCACCCCCGACCCCTGGTAGCCACCATCTGTTCTCTGTGTCTTGAGTTTGGCTTTTTTAGATTCCACACTGAGTGAGATCTACAGTATTTGTCTTTCTCTCTCTACTTATATCACTTGCCATAATGCCCTCAAGGTCCACCCATGTTGTCACAAACAATAAGATTTCATTTAATTCTTATTTTCTTAATGGAACTGAAAGGGAAAGGAGCAAACAAATTTTACTACATCTATGCCTGGCTATTGCCCCTCTTGTCTTTAAGAGTTTGGACAGAGAATGGGAAAAGTCAGCAGATTAAATTAAAGTTTTTTACTGATTGACTTATGTAACCTTAATAATTAATACCAGCCTTCTGTGCAGAAATAGATATTATGTCTCAGTTCAAATTTCATAGATGTAGGAGTTACCTGTAGCTAAAGTAATCCCATGCAGTAGAATAATGCTGCCCCAGAAAAATAGTATGTGAGTTACTTAGGTAATTTGACATTTTCTACTAGCCACATTTAAAAAAGGTAAAAAAAAGTCAAATAAATTTTAATGATATATTTCATTTAACTCACTATATATAAAAGTGTCTTTTTAATTTTATAGATTTAATCTATTACATAATAGACTAAAATTTCAATTCAAATACAGGGTAAAATACTGTAAGCATTCTTTTGGTGTGCCTGTCTAATATGTTGTATCCCTACAGAGCATACATATGTCTAGTTAAGACATAATTCCAAGCCTTGGCCAGATAGCTCAGTTGATTTGTGCATTGTCTCAATTCGCCAAGGTTGCAGGTTCAACCCCCAGTCAGGGCGAATACAAAAATGAACCAATGAATGCATAAATATGTGGAACAACAAATTAATATTTCTCTCTCTCCCTCTTCTTTTCTCTAAAAAAATCAGTAAGTTAGCCTTGACTGGTGTGGCTCAGTGAATTGAGTGCCAGCCTGCAAACCAAAGGGTTGCTGGTTCAATCCCCAGTCTAGGGAACATGTGCCTGTCCCCAGTAGGGGGTGCGCAAGAGGTAAGCATGTTTCTCTTCCTCTCATTCTCCCTCCCTTCCCCTCTCTAAAAATAGATAAAATCTTTTAAAAAATCAATCAGTTAAAAAAAGACATAATTCTACAAAATGCTGCTCTAGGTCCCTTTCTCTTAATATGTTAATATAAAACAATATATAGAAATTATTAAAGAGATAGTTTGAATGCTTTTTTCTTACCAAGTTCTTACCAAATCTAGAAACACTTAATCTTCACAATACTAAATCTTCGAAATATCAATCCTGACCCACCACATTTTATTTTAATTAATTATCTTCAAGACCAAAAAAAGGAAATTTTATTGAAGATTTTTGTGGAACGTTGAGGTAAGTGGTTAACATTGCAAAACAAATTGCTAACTATTGTTTTTTTATGATTACAAAAATCTCTTTTTTTGTAAGGTCTCATTATTTCCTGAAAGCTCCCCTTAATTTTTCACTCTATCCTAATCTTTTCTCTGCCTACTCTCTCTCAACTCTACATCTCCATTGCCTGTCCACCATTTCTTTTTTTCTATAGAGCAAATTTTCTTGCTCTTGGCACCTCTAATGTGCATACTGATCAAGAGTTAGCAGGCTATGGTACCCCCATCACCAAGCGGGACTTACCAGCTCTCACTGTGTTCACCGCTTTATCTTTCTTCTCTATCCCATCCTTTCTCCTTACTTTTTATGTCTGTGTTCAGTCATCATGATCCCCTTCTTTTATCTTCCTTTCATAAGAGACTTTGTGCCACTGGGGACTAGAGGTATGGCCAAGATGACCATTGACAAGCCATGATGGCAAATGAAGGGGAAGTGAAAGAAGGTGACTGATTTCTCACCACCTCTCCCCCTATCACCTGCTACTCCTTCACTCTCTTCCCTTTCCCCCATCTAGTCTCTGATGAATACAAACAGTTTCTGTTATAAACTAATTATTCATTAGGGGGATGTGGTGAGAGATTGGGGAACCAAGGGGTTAGGATAGTCTGCACGATAAATGCAAAAAACAAAGTTCCTGTCTTCAAGGATCATGCAATATTGTGAGACCCACCCCATTTTAAATGCTTAACAGCCACAGGTAGCTCCTGGCTACCATATGGGGCAGTGTAGGTCTAAAACCGCAGACTAGGAGGCTATGCAAATTGATCCATTTATGTCTGTGAAACCCAAGCAAGCTCAAATTGCAGGTTTGACCCACCTTCTTCGTATGCTGAAAACTCAGAATCACAGCCTTGGAGAGAGATATATTCCTTTTGGGTCCAATAGCAGCGCTTACTACGTGGGAGTTCAGGTACACTTGATCTTTCTCAGTCATCTCACCAAAAAAAGTTGCATTTATGATATTTCCAAGAGAAGAGTAGGAAATAAAGGCAACTGCACTGGGACCTGAGGACACAGAGAAATAAAGTGCCACTACCATTCCTTCGGCCCCTTTTCCTGCCCCAGTTGCATCACGCGCCCATGGTGGCCACACCTGAGCTCAGGTGCGCCTACTAAGTTTACGCTTCCTCCCATGCTCTTCCTCCCCAAATCCAGGTCATCCTCAAGGCTCAGCTCCATGCCAGCCTCTAGCTCAGGAAATGGTATCATACTTCCTTCTCTTGTGTTTCAGATGCAGCCCCTGCCATGATGATGGGAATTTAACTGTCCACTAATTATTTGTTTTTCCAAAAGGCACTACATTTCTTGAGTGGCCGTGCAGGAGACTTCATTTGGAAACCACAGGGCTACCAGCACAGTGCCAAACATCTTTATTTCCTAAAAATAATTTAACTTATATTTTAAACACCCAGAAAAGTATAACTGACATCTACACCCAGATTTAACATATATTATCATTTTGTCATATTGGCTTCAGGATTATTTTTTAAAAGAAATAAAATATTTTAGATATGGTTAAAGTTCCCACTATTTCATTTTTTACTTCCTTATCCAGAAATAACTATGGTCTTGAAGTGGATGTGTAGCCTTCCCATAAATACTTTTGTAATTTTACTACATCTGTATGTTTCCATAACAATATATAATCCAGTTTTCTGTGTTTAAAAATTCACATAAACGATGTCATTCTTGGGATATCCTTTTGCAACTTTCTTTTGTCACTGCACTTAATATTTTGAAGATTTAGTCATACCAATACATGTATAGTTTGGTTTTTATTTCAGTTTCTGTCAAGTGTCATATTATTTGATACACTACAACTTATTTGTTGTAAAAATAAATGATAAAATTTTGATTAAAAAAGAGAAAAAAATAAAATCGCTATAATATTCGACCATTTTGAGATAATCACTATTAGAATTCTGGATTTTTTCTAAGTGTAGATATGTGCATTTAAATATGTGTCTAAGATAGCCAGTGGAGAGCTGAGTATTGGGAATTATCTGATTCTGTAGGAGTGTTGCACCTTTATATTGCCAAGCAATTTCACAACTCTGTAGGCATAGAAGATAACACGTGGAAAATCGATAATAGCACAAATAATTTTTTTCTACTGACACGAGTTCATTTTGTCTGGTAGATAAACAGTTGCTTTCTGCCCTATGGAAAATACAACCTCAAACATTACATTGTACTGCCCTAGAGGATACTAATCAGTTTTTTGTATCTGTTAGCATGTTGACTGCAGTATTCATGGCTGTCTTGTATATGAGTATATTTGTATGTGTATATTTGTTCTTCAAATTGCCATTGAATTTTTCTTAATTTTATTGGTTTCTTGATTAATGAATGTCTTTGAAATGCATTCATTTACATTTGCCTGACAGTCATTATTTACCTTTTTTGAAAATGATGTATATGTGTAGATATACACAGACACATACACACATGTGTATATACCATGCATGTGCACATGTTCACATGTATGAGGGTTGAAATAAGTTGAGATTTTTCAGGGGAGGATTCTCACATTCTGAGGCTGACTTTGTATTTGTAGGTCTGAACCTTTTTTTGGTTTTACATATGGTAAAATTTGGGGGATGAGAAAAACTGGAAAAATCAAAAGAGGTTAAGCTCCATCATTTACATCAGAAAAGAGCGACATTTAAAGAAAATATTATGAAAGGTGGGAGGAGGGTCAAAGAAGAGGCAGACGGAATTTTGAAGGAGGGAGAGAAGGGGTTGGGTTAGCAGTAAAGAGGACCTTTAGGAAGTTGACTAATTTTTGTGTAATGTCGTTGCACTTCCTCTGCTGTCCCTTGAAGAGAGTTCTGCAAAGATGGACTTATTTTTCAAGGCTTTTAGATTTGTTTTTTCATATTTTTTGGATGAAATATAATGCTGACTGTGGACTCAAGGAAATCCATTTATAGTTGGGTTACATGTATCTCTATGTATTATGTATTAATCATTTCATTTCTATATATTCTATATGTATGTAAACCATCTAGAAATAAATAACATATATAGAAATCATCTATCTGTCTATCTATCTACCTATCCATCTATCCATTTATTCAACCCCCTTCCCCCACTTTTTTTTAATGGAAGACCTACTACATTCCAGACAATATTTCAGGGATGATGGGGAACAAAGCAAACTGAGTTTCTGCTCTTATGGCTCTTAAATTCTGGTGCAGAAGACAGACAAAAACCGCAAACAAATAAATAAAGGTGCATATCAGAGAATGATCAGTTCTATGAAGAAAACTGAGTGGAGTAAGTGGACATAGAGAGAGGTGATGGCATTTTGGAGAGTTTTCAGACAGCAGAGCCAAGAACGGGAGGGCCATGTGTGAAGGAAGGCGCAGCTTGGGGAAAACCCTGGAGCCACGGGTGAGCTTGGCTTGTTCAGGGAACATCGAGGAGGGTAGGGAGGTGACAGGTAGACCCTGAAGGACCTTAGGGGTTTTGGGGGACAGGACTTCTGTTTTTAAGTCTATAGAAAACCATTGAAGGGTTTTAGATAAGAATTGCTGTAATTTGGCATTCTTTAATAGGCTAATATACATATTTATATCAGACTTTTAGATAAGATATATATGATACAGAATATATATCATATACTTTTATCATATATTAATATGAGATGTACATATCTATCAATTGGGATATTGTTATGGGCTGAATTGTGTCCCCCTACCCTCCTAAATTCATGTTAAAGTCTTAAATCCCAATACTTTTGAGTATGACTGTATTGAAGATAGGGCCTTTAAAGAGGTGGCCAAGTTAAAAAAGGCTGCTCAGGGCGGCGGGGGCATCACCCAATCTGACTGGTGTCCTCATAAGAGAAGGAGATTAGGGTACACAGAGATAGATCAGGGATGTGTGTGTGTAGAGAAATGGCCATGGGAATACGCAATGAGAAGGCAGCCATTTGTAAGCCAAGAACAGAGGCCTTAGAACCAATCCGGCTGACACTGTGACCCTGGACTTCCAGACTCCAGAACTGTGAGGCAATTTCTCTTGTTTAAGCCACCCAGTCTGGTATTTTGTTATGACAGTCCTAGCAAACTAAAACAGAGTATCTATCTATCTATCTAGTTGATAATATTATAAACATATTTCCATGTTAGAAAGTCTTCACTATTCTTTGTAGCTGCCAAGAATTCCACATGGCAAAGAGCCCACATATAGTGAGTAGTTGAGAGTCTAGGGGCAAGAGCTGGGTGTCTGGTTTTCAGCTTCGCCACTTAGCTGCGCCATTTCTCTGACCAGGCCTTCCTGGCCTCACTCCAGGGATCAGAAGTAGGAGAACCACTTCTGTTTCTCTAAGTTAATGGCAATTTCTGTTGTCAGAACAAAATACTGGTAAATAGTTGGAAAACTGGCAGGTGACATATTTGCCTGTTCTTATGCTTAGAAATTACTAATTTCTAGCTGAAATATTGCCATAAGACCAAATCACAAGACCAGAGGAGACTGGCTGTAGAGGTTTCCAAGGTTGGTCTCAGTGGCCTTGTGGGTTTGTTCTGTGAGACAGTTTATTTGGGGAGAGGGAGGGTATGTCACATCTTCAATTACCTATAAAGACCCAGTTCACACCTGGTGTAATTTAATAGCACCCCCTTTCAGTCTCAAAATGGTCACTGGTGATAAATTCCGAGGTTGCTCTAGATTAGCAGTTCTCAACTGAGGGTGATTCTGCCCCCTCAGGAGACATCAGACAATGTCTGGAGGCATTTTGGTTGTCACAACTGGGGGATCGCAAAGCCTGAAGGACTGAGAAATGTCCTCCTACGAGCTTGTTACACACCCATCAATGGTTCTTGTCTCTCATTAGTCATGTTAAGGCTTCAGCCTAAATGTGGATTTAATTTGATGAGCACTTGTTATTCTCCACGTACGGTACCTATAAAGAATTCACGGTTCCGGCCCTGAAAGGAATCACAGTACAGTGGAGGAGACAGGGAGATGAGGTACATTCAGGGGTGGTGGCTGGGTTGGCACAGAGGCGGGAGGGCCTGGCTTGGGTGCTGTGATGGAAGTGGGCTGTTCTGGGAGGAATCACAGAGGACGTGAAAGTTGAGCTGTGTTAAAAGAAGAGCCAAAGTCCACCCAGCAAAGTTGATGGTTGGCGTTCCCAGCAGAGAAGCAGCCAATGTGAATGCTTGGAGGTGAGATGCAGGGCCCATTAGGGAATGATAACTAGTCTGCTGCTCCGCATGGCTATGCCAGGCACTCCTCGGAAGGCATGGGACCACACTGTGATGTCTGTAATTTATTTAAACAGTTCAGCTCAGATAGCTATTATGGGCTGAGCTGTGTCCTCCTGAGCCCGTTTGAAATCCTGACCCCTAACACCCTGTCATGTGACCAAGGAGCAAACTGGGCTGAAGACGTAATTTGTTTACTCTGCACTGTGAAGTCTTGCACACTCCTGAAAAATTGTGAGTTACAGACGAACACGGTGACAATATAATTGTGAAATTACGTGATTGGAACTTGGCTTCCCTCCTCCGCCTGGCCCCTTCTCAAATGGAGGCAGATGCAAGTTCCTAATTTTCTTGGGGGAGGACAGAAAGTGACAGGAACTAATTGTCCCAAGAGGTTTTTCTGAGATTAGAAAGTGGTTTGTTGTCTATGTTTTATTGTCTTTACTTTGGGATTGTTGGTGAATAGTACAGACAACTGTAATCATGTTTACATGATTGGATTTCAAGACCTTATTTATTATGCTATAGCAGTTTTAGCTAGATGGCAGTTATAATAAATGTATTCTTGCCAAATTTAAAATTCAGGCTTCCATGCAAATAACCTAATTTTTGGTTTCTCTTGAAAAGAATCAGAGAGTCTTGGCAAATTTACAAAATAGTCACAGGGATGTAAAGTCCAGCATAGGCAATATAATCGATAATATTGTAATAACTGTGTATGGTCATGTGGATACTAGACTTATAGGGGGACTACTTTTTAAGTTATATAAATGTCTAACCACTATGCTGCGCACCTAAAACTAATACAATCCTGAATGTCAATGGTAATTGAAAAAGGAGGCAAAGAAAAAAGTGACTAGACAACGTGAAACAAATGAAGCTGAATTCATTTCTTGTCTCTCCTTTAAATAAAAATCAGAGAGTCTGGTAATCCTGGGACAACAATAGTAACAATCTCCTCCTTGTATATAGGCCGTAGCAGGTGCTCTCTGGCTTTGTACGCTGACGGATTCTACTGCAAGCAGCTGAGACTCTGCCTGGAAAGCTCTCCCAAGCGAATGTTTGATCTGCACCCTGGGCAGGCTGGAAGGGTCTGGAAGTGAGCTCCCAGATGGGCCCTCCATCAGGGAGAAAATCAGAGCAGCTGTATAATCAGACCAGTTCTCCTTGAGTGGCATATCTCAGTGGGACTGAGCCCCAGTTGCCGCCAGCAGTAACCTGTTCACTAACATATTATAACAAGAGTATTGACTGCCTTTTCTTCCCTCAATTCCTCTCTCCCTGCCGGGGGTGGTTAATTTTGTGTATCAACATGGCAAGGCCCTGGCACCCAGATGTTTGGTCAAACACCAGTCTGGATGTTGCTGTGAAGGTATTTTTTAGATGAGATTAACATTTGCATCTTTTCTGAAAAAAATATTTTTTTGCTTGAATTTTTATCATGATCATTTATTTTATTTTTAAATTAAATTTACTGGGGTAACAGTGGTTATTAATAAGATTGCATAGGTTTCAAATGTGCATTTCCATAATACACGATCTGTACATTGCATTGTGTGCCCACCACCCAAAGTCACATTACCTTCTATTACCACGTATTTGACTCCTTTCACCTTGTACTACCCCTCTCCTTTCTTCCTTCTGGTAACCACCATGTTGTTGTCTGTGTCTATGAATTTCAGTTTTACATCTCACATGAGTAAAATTGTATAGTTTTTCGCTTTTTTCTAACTGACTTATTTTGCTTAACGTGGTATTCTCAGTCCATCCATGGAAAAAGATGTGATACATACATACAAAGGCATACTACTCAGTCACTAAAAAAAGACGAAATACTGCCATTTGCAACAGCATGGATGGGCCTTGAGATTAACATTTAAATAGTTAGACTTTGAGTAAAGCAGATCATCCTCCCTCATGCAGATTGGTCTCAGCCAATCAGTTGAAGTTCTTAAGTAAAAGACTGATCTCCCCTGAAGAAGAGGAAATTCTGTCCCCAGAGTCTGTGGACTTGAGCTACAACCTAGCTATTCCCTGGGTACATTTTAGACTTGCCAGCCTCCACCATTGCATGAGCCAATTCCTTGAAACCTGTCTGTGTCTCACCACACACACATTCGATTGGTTCTGTTTCCCTGAAGAAGCCTGACTAATACACTTACTGCTGCTTCCTGGCATCACTTCCTGAATGAACTACTTACACTGGAACCCCTTACAATTGTCCTAGAACCTGCTTCTGGGGGAACTCAAGTGAGACACGGACAGAACAGCCCCCAAATCTCAAAGAAGTCTCTTCCATGCTGAAGAATAGAAAGCTTCCACTTTGGGAAGATTTCTTCTTCTTCTTCTTTTTTCTAAGGAAAAGACTCAAATGACATAATCTTAGGGTAACAAAACTACCAGGTAGGAGCCTGTTGGGGATGTTCCCTCATGACTCACACAGTATTATTGCTGTGTGTATCTTAAGGATTCTGAACGCAGCCACCGCACGTACCTTTTATGTCTCCCTGGATGATGTCATTGCAATCAATGTCCAGTGAGTTCATCTGGATATTCAAGTTGAAGATCTTTCTTTCCTCAGAGCAATTGTCTCTAACAACTCGAACTTTAACAGCTGATGAGAAAAGCATTGGACAAGCTTACTGTTATTATAACCTTTAAAAATGTGCACAGCAACACCAATAGGCCACATTTACTGAATGTGAAGGCAGTGCCAGGCTTGGGTTAAGAGCTTTATACGTTGTCATCTTTTGACGGCCTCCTACAACCCCATGAGGGGCCATTATTCAGATGAGGAAACTAGTTCAGAAATTAAGGGTCCTCATAAAGCGTGGAAGAATTGCAAGGAAGAAACAAGCTCATAAAAATGTTTAGTTTAAAAAGAAGACAGGCTGTGTGAGTTGGAAATTGGTGAGGGATGCAACAGGGTTTTAATTATGTCTCTTTTTGTATGTTTAAAAAGTTAAATGAGGCAAGTAACAAAATAACAAAGAATGACACCATTATAGGAAAATGAAAAAAGAATACTACTTAAATAAAATTTTGTAATAACAGATGGAAAATAAAATAATCAAAATTGTAGTTACCAGCCCTGGTTCCAAGTACACTATAGGCACCCCAAACACCCCATTTTATCAATGAGAAGACTGAAATCCACTGAGCTAAGGGCTCTAGTTACCGATCAAACAATTAGCAAAATCAGGAAAGGCGAGGGTTGCCTGTAATTTGGCAAATGATTTAATTTAGAATGAAATTTTCCAGATTCCAGTTTCCCAAGATGGTTAGGCACTAGATTTTATTTTATCTTTTAAATTCATTATAATTATAATTACTTTTATAGAGCATAGAGTATTTTATCAGCCAAGTTGGTAAAACAAGAATAGTTAGGCATACACCAATCCTTCGATTTCCCTGAGCTGAATAAAAACACAGCAAACATTTCTGGAGGCCAATATAGTGATATGTGTCAAAAGCCTAAAATGTTTTTTCTTCTTGACCTAATAACTCCTCCTTTATGAATTTATCCTAAGAAAATGTCAAGCAAATACACACAGATAAATTGTGAGTGGTCTTTACCATAGGGTTGTTTGGCAAAAGCCCACATTTCCCAGAACAGGAAAGTAAATTATGGCACTCACTTTCATATAGTGCAAGCCTGTAAGTCACTTGAAGACAATAACGTAGGTAATGATGCTGAATACAGTTTACATGGAAAGATGTTAGTAGTGAGGAGTGAAGGAAGAGGTTGTGCAATCGTATGTAAAAGATACCATACACAACACAAATGTGTCTCCTCATCAAACATGTGCCTAACTAGGCCCAGGACTGGAAGGCTGGCTTGTGGGCAGATACAGGGCTGGTTTAAATTTAGTTTTTCCTAATAAAAAATTGTGTTTTTCCTAATAAAAAATTAATACTTGGTTTTACTATGGCATTTATTTGTTTTTATTTTTAAAAATGAAAATTGTGTACTTAAGCTGTACAATATGATTTTCCACACATGAAATACCTAATGAAATGATGACCACAATCAAGCTAATTAATGTCATTTTAACATGGTTATGTAATATGTACGACAAGTGCAATAAAAAGGATTTTCATTTTTTGGATTGTCACCCGATGATATGTTCATTAATTTTAGAGAGAGAGGAAGGGGGGAGAGAAACATCAATGCGAGAGAGAAATATTGATTGATTGCCTCCCAAATGAGCCCTGACTGGGATCAAACCCGAAACCCAGGTATGTGCCCGGACCGGAATTGAACCCATAACCCTTTGGTGCATGGGATGACTCTCCAATCAGCTGAGCCACCTGGCCAGGGAAAAAGGATTTTCATTTTAAAAATATGTAGTAAAATGTTTCTTTTACATGAGCTATTAGGTTATGCAGGCACTAGATTAAAAAAATATTTCTAAGCCCAAATCCCAGACTCAGGATTGGAAATCACTGACAATCTTCTTATTTTTCTTTAACAGCTCTCCAGAGGTGTAATTGATTGTACAGCAATGTGTACAGTTGATGAATTTAATTGGTTTATTCACCTGCACAACCGCCACCACAATCAAGGTAGTAAGCATTTCCATAGTCCCCAAGTTTCCCAAATTTTCATCCTTCCACCCTCCCCTCCCTGTCACTATAGATTAGTTTGCATTTCCTAGGATTTCATATAAATGTACTCATGCAGTGTATTTATATATTTTTCTAATTGCTTAATCCCGATCCCAGCTAGTAACCAGCACCCCCACGCCTGCCCTGTGGGTATCAGGCCTTGTCTCCTTACCCACAGCACTGTTTTGAACTTTCTGGATGTCTTGGTCTGGGGTTTTCAAGGTAATTTTTAGAACAGTCGATTCCACCATCTGCAGAACAGATGTGACTTTGGATGCGATTTTTCTCTTTTCTCCCAGTTCCCACAGAGTCTTGTTGGCAAGACGTGACTCCAAATCTTCAACAACCCATTGTAGCTTTAAAGATATTAATCATCATCATCATCATCATCATCATCACTCACTCACTCTGATAGGTCCCCACAACCCTAAGGGAGAGTAGAAAGCACAAGAAAGCAGAGTCTGGAGCCAGAGGACCCAGTTCAAATCCTGACCCCACATTCAATGGCTGTGCAATCTTGGGACACTCAGTCACTCTTTGCCTTAGTTGCCCCACCTTAAGGCGACAGTAAAAGGACCCATAAAGTTTTTGGCAAGATTAAATGAGTTAAGAGATGTTGCATGTCTGTGCCTGGTAAATACAGGACAAAGGTTAATTATTACTAATGTCTGTTACCAACAGGGAAGTGGTAAGTTTGCTAGAAATAGACCAGCTGTTCTCAACCTAGGCAATTTTGACCCCCTGGGACATTTGGTAAAGTCTGGAGACACTTACGATCGTCACCCTTGAGGGGTGCTCCTGGTATCTAGTGGGTGGAGGCCAGAGATGTTGCTCCACACCTTCTAATGCGCAGGACAACAGCACAGCAAAGAGTGACCCAGTCTTGACTATTATAACATTGTAATGCTATATGAAGAGAAACTCTGAGGTAGACATAGCCAGAGGCACTCTAATTTGCCTTTGTACGTTTATTTTCTTAATTAAGTTTATTGAGTTGACTTTGGTTAGTAAATTTATATGTTTCAAGTATACAATTATATGATACATCATCTGTATATGGTATTGTGTGCCCACCGCCCAAAGTCCAATCTCCTCCTATCACCATAATACTTGACTACCTTTCATTACGCCCTCACCCTGGTAATTGGCCTTTTAAAATCAAGAAATTTGTCTATGAAGGATAGCAAAGATATGGACCAGTGGCTGGAGAAAAATAGGGGCCAAGGGGAAGCTTTGAAAATTGAAACATGAATAGAGGACTCACGGGCATGGACAATGGGGGTTGATTGACTATGGGGATGAGGGGTTGAGGCAGAGAAGAGCAACGTGGAAAAATGCTGGACAACTGTAACTGAACAACGATAAAAAAATTGAAACAGTTGAGTTAAAAGACTATTTTTTTGCTGATCCCCAAGTCCCTGTGCTCAAGTGTGGCCCTTGGACCAACAGTGTTAGTCTCACCTGGGAGCTCGGTTGAAACGCAGACTCTTGATGTACTAAATCCCCACCGGAACTTTCCCAAGCTCCCCTGGGGGAGTTCGTGAATCTTTTAAAGTACTAGATGTTAAGACTTTGTCTTATTTACAGTTGTTTCTCAGCACCTAAAACAGTCCTTGGCAAGCAAATAGTAGGTGCTCAATAAGTATTCATGTACTGGATAAATGAATGGTCTGAAGAGGGAAATGCTATCATGCCAAAGAACTAGAAGCAGAGTTATACTTAAGGGCCAGAGGCACGGTCAGAGCTGGGGTTCACATAGAGCTTCTTAATGTCCTGTTCTTTCAGTCTGAGTCTTCATGGAAATGCTGAGCTGCTCCCCTTCCCTGCCTGGCATATAGAAGATCTCTCTTTCTCATAGAAATGGGAGCTGAAATATTGATTTAAACCTGTTTGTATAGAGCAGGCACCAAAGTATTGGCCCTTCAGAATTGTCATTGTAGTATCTGACCCAGCACGATGACTTTGCATCTTCCTTTTTCTGGCAAAGCATTTTTTTTTTTTTATTGAGGTGAAAGGCACACAACATCAAATCCACCCCTTTAAAGTATGCAATTCAGTGGCAACGTATACACTTGCGATGCTGTGCCACCACCCTCTATCTAGTTCCAAAGCATTTTCATCACCCTAAAATATCTGCTTGCTATTTCTGTGGATTTGCCTATTCTGGACATTTTCTATAAATAGAATCATACATTATATGACCTTTTGTGCTTGGTTTGTTTCAGCATGTTTTCAAGGTTCATCCACATTGTAACATGCATTGGAACCTCATTCCTTTTTATGGCTGAATAACATTCCACTGTGTGGATGGATGACATTTGTTTATCCATTCATATGTTGGTGGACATTTGGGTTGTTTCCACCTTTTGGCCACTGTGAATAGTGCTGCTGTGAAAGTGGATGTGCAAACAGCTATTTGAATCCCTACTTTCAATTTTCTTGGGTATAGTCATAGAAGTGGAGTTGCTGGGGTATATGGTAATTCTATATTTAACTTTTTGAGGAACCTGGAAATAAATTTTGTAATAAAATGTTCCTTTTATTCCATGATTATTTATTACTTCAATGAACATTTGCTAAGCTCCCAAAGAGGATGTGTTCTTATTCCTGTCCTCAAGAAGCTCAGTCTATGGGGTGAAAACCCATCGCATCAGTGTTGTCGGTCTGCTGGAAGTGACATGGATAACATGGATGGACATGTACTCTGGACCAGTCACTGTGCTGAGTGCTCCACATAATATGATTTCATCTAAGCTTCCCATCCATCCAAGGAGGTGGGTGCCATTGTTACCCTCATTTTACACATGTGTAAATCAACACTTGGAGAGTGTGATAGCTATTTTTATGTGTCAGCGTGAGTGGGCCATGGGGTGCACAGATATTTTGTCAAGCATATTCTAGGTGTTTCTGGATGAAACTAACATTTGAATGGGTAGACTGAGTACAGTGGATGGCCCTCCCTCAGGTGGGTGGGCCCCACCCAGTCAGGTGGGGGACTGAATAGAACACAAAGTCTCAGTAAGGGAGAATATCCTCTTGCCTGACTCCACAACTGCCTTGAGCTAGAACATGGGTTTATTTTTTGTTTTATCTTCAGACTCAAACTGAAATATCCATCAGCTCTTCCTTTGTTTCAAGTCCTCAGGCCTTCTACTCTCCCCATTCGCAGGTCCCTGGAACTATACCGTCCGCTTTCCTGAGTCCCCAGTTTTCCAACTGCAGATCTTGGGACCTGCCAGCCTCTATAATCACATGAGCCAACTTCTTATAATACGTCTTTTTGTATCTGTATCTCCTATGGCTTCTGTTTCCCTGGAGAACTCTGACATGGAGAAAGTGTCTTGTGCCCATGTCCCTTGCCACTGTGGTGCCAGGATCTGAAGCCCTGTCACACTTCTATCCCCCACAGCCTCCCACCATAAGAACATGGGGAAAGGGGATGTTAACGCAGATGGAGGTTGTTTAGGGAGGGTGACCCGGAGGATGTGACACCTAAATTGAATCTCGAGCAAAGAAGAGTAGCAGTGAGCCAGCCAGGTTACGAACTGGGGAGAGGAGTTTCAGGTGCAGAGGACAGCACGTACCTGGAGGCCTGGAGACGGGGGGCGGGGGGGGGGGGGGCAGGGCGTGAGCCGTCCCTCTGCAGTAGAGTGGGCGGACTCAGATACGAGCCCAATCTGCTCAACTAGACGTTCTCAGAGACATGGATTCTTTTTGTTAAAATTCAGAGTTGGTTTATAGACACTAAATGATTACTACCTCACAGGCACATTCTTGGTATCTCTCCCTCTTTTGACTGTCCTGCAATATCCATTTCCCCATATTCCTTTCAGTAGTTGAATGAATTCCTCAACTTTTTTCTGGGCCCTGTCACTCAGTTACAGACCATATTGTTCCAACCTCCCTTGCAGTTAGGTTTGGCCATATGTGCAATTTCTGGGGTGTCACTTTAAGAAATGTCTCTGAAAAAAGGGAACCCTCAGGCACTGGTGGTGGGATTGTAAACTGATGCAGCCACTATGGGAAACAGTATGGCGGTTTCTCAAAAAAATTAAAAATATGCCCCAGCAATTCCACGTCTGGGTATTTATCTGAAGAAATCCAAAATATTAATTTGAAAAAACATATGCACCCTTATGTTCATTGTAGCATTATTGTCAATGTGTGGAAGCAAGCTAATTGCCCATGAACAGATGATTAGATAAAGCAGATGTGGTTTATATAATGAAATATTATTCACTCATATAAAAGAATGGAATGTTGCCATTTGTGACAACATGGATGAACCTAGAGGGTATTATGCTAAGTGAAATAAGCTAGACAGAGAAAAACAAATACCATATGATTTCATTTATATGTAAAATCTAAAATCCAAAATAAACAAACAAACAAAACAGAAGCAAATTTCGTGAGAACGTTCTGAGGGTTGCCAGATGGGAGGGGGGTTGCGGAATGGGTGAAGAAAAGGGAAGGGCTTACGATGTGCGAATATTCAGTTCTAGAAACAGTCACAAGGATGTAAAGTACAGCATAGGAAATGTATGGTGTCAGATGAATACTAGTCTTACAGGGGTCATCACTTTAGAAGTTATATAAAACTGAATCACTATGTTGTATACCTGAAACTAATATAACATCGCATGTCAACAGCAACTGAAAAATTAAAAAAAGGAGTGTTGCTAAGAAACGATCACATCCTTATTAGCATATCATAAAATGATCAGGTAGTTGCATCCTCTCTCTCCACTCTTCCCTCACTCTGCACTTCATACAACATGCCCTGGACTCCATCTCTCCTCTCCCCACTGGTAAGAATGCAATATTGCAGCAACCCTGCTTTGACCATGCAGTTGAGGACAAGATGCCAGGGTGAAACATTAGTATAGAAAGAATGTGGCCAGTCTTAATGATCTCACAGAGCAGAATCCCTCCACCAACCTAGACTGCTCACTTCTGGACTGTTAACTCAGAAAGTAATAAAGTAGTATCCTTTAAAAGCCATTGTATATTTGGGCCCCTCTGTTGCAGCAGCTCAGCATATCCTAATACAGTCTTGCTTAGTCTATCTTTTTGACCTGGGATAGGTCCTATCTTTAGGGGGCAGTACACACACACACTTTCTCTTTTTCTACCTATCTCTATAGTGAAATATATAGGGATGTATGTATAATGATAAATACAGTGGTAGAGTTGAACCTTGAACAATCTGGTTTGAACTGCAAGGGCCCACTTATATGTGAATTTTATCTTCATTGAAGACATGTTTACTGACTTTTAGAGAGAGAAGGAGGAGAGAGACAGAAATATTGATGTGATAGAGAAACATCAATTGGTTGCTTCTGGACATGCTCCAACTGAGGATTGTACCCGAAATCTAAGTATGTGTCCTGAGTGGGGATTGAACCCATAACCTTTTGGTGTATAAGATGATGCTCCAATCAACTTAGTCACCTGGTCAGGGCCACTGATACATTAATCTTTAAAATAAATACTGTAAATATATTTTCTCTTCCTTATGATTTTCTTAATAACATTTTTTCCTAGCTCACTTTATTGTGAGCCCACAATATGATAAACATAACATACAAAATATGTGTTAATTGACTATTTATGTTATCAGTAAGGCTTTTGGCCAAGAGCAGACTATTAATAGCTAAGTTTTGGGAGAGTGAAAAGTTATACACAGATTTTCAACTGCATCGGGGGGGGTCAGTGCCCCTATGCTGTTCAAGGGTTAACTATAATATGTATATATCATGGTTGTATATAATATATTTTATGATATAATATTATATTGCAATTAACATACATTATATATTAAATATACAGGGTCCAGCAGAAGTAAAGCCTGCTTGAGTGTGGTTGGTAGGCTAATATGGGCGTAATAATTTATAGTTTTAATTTGAACATTTCACCTAAAATGTCATATGGTGTGCTTGAGTGTGATTCTGTTACGCTACTGAATTGCATGCTTATGATTTTGTAATAAAAAAGGGGTGTTATTTGTGCTGGACCCTGTATGTCATGTGTCAATATGTGATATATAATATGTAGTACACGTATAATATATAGTTCCTACCGCCACGTGCTAGTTTGGGCTTTGTAAGTATTTGTTACCTGTCTAGGCTCCAGGACTCAGTTTCCACTCACCTCTTGATTGCCTTTGGTGTTGTTTGAGGAGGCGATCTCTGCAAAAGACATCATGGGAAATTACTGCTGGAACTGAGAGGGAAAGGGTAGAGAGCTGGGCAGGTAAGGTATGTAACTAGAACAAGTCAAACTAATTGTGCTCATTGGTAAGCTTTTTTGCTGTTTGCTGTTTAGAGGGATCAAAGTCCAAATTCCTTGCTATGGTGTAGAGCAGTGTTCTTTGTCTGGGTGTGATTTTGCCCCCATGGGACCCCGGCAATGGCTGCAGACATTTTTGGTGGTTCTAGTTTGGGGCGGGGGATGCTCCTGGCGTCTTGGGGGTGGAGGCCTGGGATGCTGCTCAGTACCTTACAGGGCAGAGGGTGGCTCTCTACCACAAAGAATGATTGGATCTCACATGCCAATATTGCTGTGACAGAGGTATCCTGGCATAGGGGAAGCAGAAAAACGTAAGCTCCAAACTCTTTAATATGGTCTTGGCTGGACATTATAACTGAAATGGCCGAGGAAACAGAAAATTAAATACCTCATGTATTTAAATTCAGTTTGACTGGGAATTAGAACGGTAACAGGAATATCTGGTTTGGTTATTTATTGTTAGTGGGTCCTTCTGTGTTGTTTATTGTGCTTTGTGAGGACAGCCACTTCTGTTTTAGAAAGATGAGGAAAAGATAGAAAATGTTACATATCTGTTACCATCAAACTGAGGTTAAATCTATACCAAGTCTGTATCTTGGTTTTCAGCTGAGTCTATTTGCTAAAAAAGGGCAAAGAGCTTTCTTGTAATGTTGAAGCTTTTGTCTTAAAGTGCAGGAACTTGGAATATCACTGAGCCATAGAAAAGAATGGAATCTTGACATTTGTGACAATATGGATGGACTAGAGGGTATTATGCTAAGTGAAATAAATCAGACAGAAAGACAAATACCATATGATTTCACTTATATGTGGAACCTAAAATAACAAAGTAAATGAAAAGATAAAACAGAACCAAACTCATAGATAAAGAGAACAAACTGAAAGTTGCAAAACTGGGGGGTGGGGGGAGGGCAGGGTGAAAAAGGTGGAGGAATTAGGAAGTACATATTAGCATTACAAAATAGTCACAGGTTTGTAAAGTACAGCATAGGGCACATAGTCAATAAAGTTGCAATAACTACGCACAGTCTAGGTGGGTGCTAGGCTTACCAGGCGGATCGCTTTGCAAGTTATATAAATGTCTAACCACTATGCTGTATACCTGAAACTAATATCCTATTGTATGTGAGCTGTAATTGAAAAATAAATTTTACAAAAGAGTGCAAGAACTCTGACTTACAACCCTGAGTTCAGAATGTGTCTGTTATTGGAAATTACATTCATTGTAAAAAAAAAAAAAAAAAAAAGTACTTTTGGATGTATGCTGCATACTTTTCCATGGGTGACTTTTTGGACTTACCAACATTGGTGATAACTAACCCCAGATGGACTCAGTCCACATAATGGAACTATGAAGAGCTCTTAGAATTAGGAAAGTAACCAAAAGCTTTTCTCTTGTAAAATAGAGTGAGTTTAACAGATTAACCTCAGAACCCAGGGAGAATCTCAGTCTGCTTCTACTCATTCACTTTGGGTTCAATGCAATGCAATTCATTCAACAAATATTTATTGGCTGTCTGAGCTAGCAGTGGACATAGGGCACAGCAGCCCTTCCTATCCACCTTACATTCTTTCCTCTCCTCTTCCCCACTTGGACCCCAGTCTCACAGTTGAGCTCATGCAATTCCAAGACCCTGATGTGGAGTCCAGCTTGGGACCTGGTCATATACAGGAATACGGGCTTGAATCTGGCATGAGTGCCTCTCATTGGTAGAAAATGTACCCTTGATATTAAAGAGCTACCTGACTTTCCCATGATCTTTCTAGTTGAAGCAGAGGTTTTAACCTTTTCATTAAAAAAAAAAAATCAGATGAAATGTTAATAATATTAGCAAATACTTCTAGACACTGTCCTAAGGGCTTTAAAAGGTAGTATCTCATTTAATCCTTGCAACAGCCTGGTGAGGCATATCCTCTGTGAAGATGAGGATTGTTAGCTTCATTTTACAGATAGGGCGGAGAAAATTTAGTATGTACCCAAGGGCATTCTGCTGGGATCTGGCTGCAGAGTCCCTGCAAAGTATTCTTAACCACTCTGTTGTGTTGCCTCTTGAAGATCTGAAGCATCATACAGAAGAATGCACTGCACACAGAAATCATCCTAGTTACTACTTGTTGAATGCCACCTTGCATGCATCATCTCATTTAATCTTTGTAACAATCCCATGAATCAGGTTCAGTTTTTATATCATTTAAGCAGATAAAACAGAGGCATGGGGGCAAGGAGTTAAGGAATTGTTTTCAGTCATTGGGGGTGTTGTAAATGGTAGAGCCTGTACTGAATCTGTATTTGGTCAAGCACAAAGCTCATACTACTTCAAAGTGCAGAAGCCGCATACACTGGAATCAGAATGGGCACAAGCAGTTCCACCCACTCACAGGCATCCTCGATGATGGCTGCCTGTGGCCCCTGAGCTACCTGAGCACCCTGTTGCAGAATAGCTGGGGCTCTGTAATCCAGCACAGGTCCCTGGAAAAGGAATCCAACTTCCCATCAGGTCTTTGTCCCTACAGAGCCTTTTTCCACTGTCCTTCTCCAGTTTGATCAGAGTCCCTGTTTTAATCTTTTTAGAAAGTTTGGATCTTAGGCCTCTGAATGATATTGTTTCCTTTTTGGCATAGTTGTGCTTTTTTGTTCTGAGGCCCTTGGCTTTGTAGAAGGATCATGGAGTCTTGGACACCCCTGTTGGAAGGAACAGCAGAATTGGCCTAGTGTGAATGCCATTGGTGCAGAATTGGCCTGGTAATTGAGATGTGAGGTTTCTCAATTTCTAGCTGCAAGGTTGTGCTGCTCACGACCTTGAGCTACTCAGAGGATCTCGGGTGAGGTGGGTGGATGGGATGCAATGACCCTTGTCAACCTTCCTCCAAATTCTCTGCTATGGAGTCTCCAACCCCATGGCCTTAATGCTGGGTGGAAAGGAGCACAAAGGAACAATCTTTTTGGAGCTTTACTTTCATTGTCCTACCAATCTAAGGAGAAAGGCTCCATTCCAGAGACATGTATTGTTTTCTCCTCTCAGGATTATATATGAGACTTTACAAGAGAAGTTTTCTCTTTCCCACCCTCAATTCTAGGACCTAATGTTTGGGTTGATGCACCATTAGAGGGGCCCAAAAGTTGGAGGTCATACCACGCTGAGAAGAATTCCTACTCAGCAACCATGCCCTTTTTCTTCCTTACTATCAGAACACTCATTTTATTCAGGTAGGTGAAGTTGAAACAGCTCCTAATCCCAGGGTCAAGCCCTGAGATCTTTTTCTGTTATTCCAGGAACTTGTTTACAATAGGAATTTGACCTAGGTCTAACCAAACAAAGATAAGTCTGTTAGAAGGCTTCTTAGGACAATTTTTCTTCATGGCAAAAAGAAAGAGAGGCTGAGGAGTACCAATCTTCTACTCTTTGTTTTCCAAAAGAGGCATGAATGTATGAGGATGTGATGTTTGGAGCTGTGGCAGCCATTTTGGGACAATGAGGGAAAGCCAACAAAGGTCAAACCAAAGCTCTGGTGTTATCGAGATTAACAAACCAAGAAACTATTTCTGGGTTTTGATTATATTGAGATTTATTAACAATCTTTATTGATAAGTCACTTTTAGTCAGGTATAATATTGCTTAAAGCCTGAAGCATCCTAACAGATACAAGGTTAGTGATGGTAAGGATAAGAACACCTTGAGACATGCTTCAGCCAGCTTCTCTCATAACATGAGCAATTATCTTTTCTTCACCCTTGAACCAGAACCATCAACTATAAACCATGGCTCAGATATGGACCTAGTGACCAAAAATCTGAACAATGAAAAGAAAAATTGAGAATTTTTTCAAAAATTGAGAAAAGGAGGCTAAAAACAGAATAGAACAAATTTAAGATCATAGGGGTACACACTGAGACTCATAGATAAGTTTCTTTTTTTTTGAAGAAAGCTTGGAAAGAAGGGGGTGATCCCTCCACTATCTCATAGAATAAGACCTACTGGCTATATGAAAACAACACAGTTTGAAATGCACTCTCTCTACTGTAAGTCTCAGCAGGTCCCCACCTTAACTTACATTTGTAAGGAAAAGACTTCATATCCTTGGAAAACAGTGATTGTCCATCAACTGCTAATTTTTCCTCAGGCCCCACTTTTTTCATGCTCTGTTCTGTTTCATAAAGAGCTTCATTTACCAGGATCTCTTGCCCTGTGGCTTCCTGATGGACTAATCAATGGGAAATACTGGTAGAATATTGGAGAGGGGAGAAAGGGAGGAGCCAGGGAGTTTCCTCCCCTTCTTCTCTGAGGCTTGTGGTAGCTCCAGCATTGGTTGCATCATCTCTTCCAAGTTTTTACCTCTCATTATATGGACTCAACTCTTGGGCTCTGGAAATACCACTTCCTCCCCTGTCCCTTTAGGTCTAGGGTGGCTGCGTATCTCTGCTATTACTAATCTTTGGGTTGCCTCCCAACCTCCTTTTGATTTCTCAGCCCTTCCTTCATCAGTACTAATTCTCCCTATAAAATTATCTTTGAAAGACCTAGAGTGGTTTTTGTTTTCCAGGCTGGATATTAACTGATAAAGAGACATTATTATTATTATTATTATTATTATTATTATTATTATTATTATGATGTACCAGAAAAAAGAGTGCTTTGTCCCTCTTTTGGTTTCCCTGAGACCCATGCTGCCATGCAGCAAGTGGCTGAGAACTCTCAATACAGGTAGACAGGCTTCTAGATGGCTGACCTTAGGCAATTTACTTAACTTTTGGATGCCTCAGTTTCTTTATCTGTAATAAAGTTGCCTACCTCATATGATTATGTTAAATGAAATAATGCATGCAAAGCACTGAATGTATCACTTGGTACATAATATAAATGAAACAAATTCCTAGCTGTTAATATGCACATTACTGTTATTTTACAAATCAGCTCCTTCATATTAGGCTTTAAAGATTCTCTCTCTTATCATTCCAACCATTGCCAAAGCTCATAGATAAGTCTGCCAAATGCCATATTTCTTGGGTATAGGCTTTCCCCATCTACATAGTTTTCATGAGAGTGATCATGCTTATACAACATGATACCTCCTCTTAGACACAGATCCGTGGGTGGGAATATGACTTAAACTGGGCTAACTTGTATATTTCCAAAGACTTTACAATTAAGTCCAAAAGAGAGTCAACTGATCTCTTTGGGTGGTTGGGTCAACGATAATGGAAAGATTTGGAGGTGTTGGACGTATTACCAGCTCTGTGGAATAGGAAGCAGAGAAAGACAGTTTGCAAGGAAAGGGAAGACAGGATCAGCTCCAAAGAGTATCAGAGACTGGGGCACCCTGATAATGATGAGCCCCCAGTTTCATTTCATTCCAGAAGAAGTCCAGCTCTGTTCTTGTCCTTGAGATCCAAGATATATCCATGGACCCTTATCATAAATTTATCTTTTCTGCTTAAAATAACCCAAGTGAGTTTCTCTCTTTTGCGATTCAAGGGGACCTATCTCATTTATAACCTTGTCACCTCCATCTCTAAAGTCCACTTGTCTTCTGAACCCTATTATTTCTCTAACTTCCTTATTTCCTTTTTTCTCCTCTTTCCATCATACATTTCTTTCCAGGAAATAAAAACACATCCTGTCCCCACCACACCACACAAAAATCTTTTCTGTTATTAGACTCAATGAAAAATGTTGAAAGGGTGACAAAAACACAAAAATTTTCTTACTCTGACAAGTGTTGTCACTGGGATTCATGAACTGTGTATCTCCAGAGAGGAGTTTGTATCCAGGGTCACAGCGACAGTAGAAACTTCCTTCAACATTCTGACATTCAGCATTTTTTCCACAATACCTACTGAAGGGTGGTTTACATTCATCAACATCTGAAACACAAAGAAATCTGGTCATTCATTTGACAAAGATTTATTGAGCATCTAATATGTCTCAAAGTGTTTTCATCCTTCTCACCACCACGAACCTTGTATCCGTTAGGATGCTTCTGGCTTGAATAATATTTTGCCTGACTAAAAGTGAGTTATCAATAGGGATTACTAATAAATCTCAATATAACAAAAAAAAACAACAACCCAGAAACAGTTTCTCAGTTTGTTAATGCAGCATCTCCATAATAGCAGAACATTGGTTTGACCTTTGTTGGCTTTCCCTCATTGTCCCAGGATGGCTGCCACAGCTCCAAACATCACATCTTCACATAGCCATGCCTCTTGGAAAACAAAAGGTAGGCTCACCCCAAAAAACATCATAACTAAAATGTCAAATATCAAAGACAAAGAATCTTAAAGGCAGCAAGGGAAAAAACAGGAAGCTCCGATAAGGCTAACAGCTGACTTCTCAAGAGAAACACTAAAAGCCAGAAGGGAATGCAAGAAATATTCCAAGTTATGAAAAACAAAGGTCTTCAACCAAGGCTACTCTACCCAGCAAGGCTCTCATTTAAAATGGAAGGCAAAATTAGGAATTTCCCAGACAAAAGAAGGCTAAAAGAATATACTTCCACCAAACCATCATTGCAAGATATGCTAAAGGGACTGCTTTAAGAAGATGAAGAAAACGAGCAAGGGAGAGAAGAACACAGGTACAAAGGGGGAAAATGGCAATAAATAAGCACCTATGAACAATAACCTTAAATGTAAATGGATTAAATGCTCCAATCAAAAGACATAAGGTAGCTGAATGGATAAGAAAACATGACCCACACATATGCTGCCTACAAGAGACCCACCTCATAACAAAAGACCTATACATGCTGAAAGTGAAGGGTTAGAAAAAAAATATTCCAAACAGGGAAAAAAACCCAAAAAGAAAGACTAAAAATCACATTATCATATCAATAGATGTGGAAAAAGCATTTGATAAGGTATAGCACATTTTTATGATAAAACCACTCAGCAAAGTGGGAGTGGAGGGATTATATCTCAACATAATAAAGGCCATATATGAGAAACCTACAGCCAAGGGGCAAAAACTAAACACTTTCCCACTAAGATCAGGAAATAAGACAAGGATGTCTGCTTTCACCACTTTTATTCAACATAGTATTGGAAGTTTTAGCCACAGTGATGAGACAAGAAAAAGAAATAAAAGGCATCCAAATTGGCCCAAATTGGAAAGGAGGAAGTAAAATTGTAATTGTTTGCAGGTGACAGGAAAGTGTACATAGGAAACCCTATAGACTCCACCAAAAAAACAACTTGACCTAGTAAGTGAAATTGGCCAAGCAGCAGGATACGAAGCCAATATTAAAAAATCTAAGGCATTTTTGTACACCAGCAATGGAATATCAGAAACAGAAATCAGGAAAAAAAAAATCACATTTGCTATAGCAACAAGAAAAATAAAGTACCTAGGAATAAACCTAACCAAGGAAACTCGTTTCTGTAGTCAGAAAACTACAGAACACTGCAGAAAGAAATTAAAGAAGACACAAATAAATGGAAGCATACACCATGTTCATGGATTGGAAGAATTAAGATCATCAAAATGTTGGTACTATGCAAAGCAATTTATTAATTCAGTGCAATCCTTATTAAAATACCAATGACATCTTTCACAGATATAGAACAAATATTTCCAAAATTTATTTGGAACCACAAATGACCCCAAATAGCCTCAGCAATTTTGAGAAAGAAGAACAAAGTAGGAGGGATCACAATATCTGATACCAAACTATATTACAAGGCCACCGTAATCAAAATGGTCTGGTATTGGCATAAGAACAGATACATAGATAAATGGAATAGAATAGAGAGCCCAAAAAACAAACCCATGTCTCTATGGTCAGTTAATATTTCACAAAGGGGGCAGGAGCGTAAAATGGAGTAAAAATAGCCTTTTTAACAAATGGTTTTAGGAGATCTGGACAGCTACATGCAAACAAATGAAACTCAACCACCAATGAACACTATACACAAAAATAAACTTAAGATGGATAAAAGATTTAATTATAAGTCATGACACCATAAAAGTCCTAGAGGAGAACATAGACAGGAAAATTTCAGATATTCCATGCAGCAGTATTTTCATTGATGTCCTGTAGAGCAAGGGATATAAAGAAAAGAATAAACAAATGGGACTATGTCAAATTAAAATGCTTCTGCACAGCTAAAGCAAACACTGGCAAAACGAAAAGGGAACCAAACATACGGGAAGATATATTTTGCCAATGATACTTCAGACAAGGGTTTGATCTCCAAAATATATAAAAAACTCACATGACTCCACATCAGGAGAACCAACAACCCAATTTAAAAATAGGCAAAGGACCTAACTGACCTTTCTCCAGGGAGGACATACAGAGGACCCAGAGAGCTATGAAAGGATGCTCAGCACCACTAGGCATCACAGAGATGCAAATTAAAACCACAATGAGATACCACTTCACACCAGTCAGAATGGCCATCATAAACAAATCAACAAACAACAAGTGCTGGTGAGGATGCAGAGGAAAGGGAACATTAAGTGTACTGTTCTTGGGAACGCAGACTGGTGCTGCCACTGTGGAAACAGTATGGAATTTCTTCAAAAGACTCAAAATGGAACTGCCTTTTGACCCAGCAATTCCACTGCTGGGATTATACATTAAGAATCTTCAAATACCAAGTCAAAAGAATCTATGCTTCCCAATGTTCACAGCAGTGTTATTTACAATAGCTAAGTGCTGGAAACAGTGTAAGTGCCCATTAGTTAAAGAGTGGATCAAAAAACTGTGGTATATTTACAAAGTAGAATACTATGCAGCAGAAAGAAAAAAGGAACTTCGACCCTTCATCACTGCATGGCTGGAACTGGGAAGTATTATGCTAAGTGAAATAAGCCAGATTGTGAAAGATAAATACCATGTGATCTCACCTGTAAGTGGAACCTAATCAACAAAACAAACAAGTGAGCAAAACAGAACCAGAGAAACGGAAATAAAGAACAAATTGACAGTGACCAGAGGGGAGGGGGAGGGGGGAAATGGGAGGAAGGAAGGGGAAGTGTCATGTCAAGAAACAAGTATAAAGGACCCATGGACAAAGACAATGCGGGGGTAGGACTGAATGTGGGAGGGGGGGATGGGTAGGGCAAGGGAAAGTAATGGCGGAAAAATGGGGAAAACTGTAATTGAACCACAATAAATAAAAGAATAAAAATGTACACATAAAAAAATAAGAAAAAGGCAAATAAGAAAAAAAGTACAAAATTAATAAAAAATGCAAAATAACATGGAGGAAGTAACATGTCAGCCATTGCACTAGATATAAGTGGATTAATATACACTAAATATAAATGGAAATCTGTTACCTAACAAGTGGACCCATGGCAGGAGTGGCGCCTAGATGCTATTACCGAAACAACGACACCCTCCTTCCCCGGGACCCCTCGGTTGTGGGTCCTTCGCCCGCTGCCCTTGGAATTATGGCTCTGAATGGCAGAGTTTGGTGAAAAAGAAAGGAACTATTTATTCAAAAGTTATGCAGGTTCCATTAATGGCTAAATGTCTCCCTTAAGTCTCAAAATCCCTTTAAAACACCCACCAACACACACACAGTCCTGCCTTCCCCCTCGGCCCAGTTAGGCCAGTCAGGGGTACCGTCCTTCAGAAGAAAAAGAACAGAAGTCCGGGGCTCAGCTAGGCAGGCCTCTCGCGGTTCTCAGCACCATCCGCTGCGTCTCTGCGATCTCCAGCTCTTAATCCATAACCATGTGGCACCTTCTCCCGGCCCACTAGCAAGAGTCCTTGCTCTCTTCTTTTTTCCCCACGTGGTCTTCACACTGTTCCCCAGAGTCTGTGTTCCCCACTGTCTCTCACGCTGGCTCCAGTCTCTCCTCCTTCCCTCTCTCAATTACATTCTGCATTGTCTTTTAAACCTTCCTGATTAGCTTTGGTGATATGCAAAATAACCCTCTTTGCATGTGAAGAATGAAGCTATCCTCTTACTGACCTACAAAATGACTCTCAATGGCCCTGCTCAAGGCTTCCATCCCCCACAGTGGCCCGCCCTGGGGTGGGGAGAATATATTTTTCTTGGACACCCCAATCTCTGGACCCTGTCACAAATACCCTTTTGGGGGGCCCTGGATGTGCCCTGTTACAAATCCTCTGTTAAAACAGAGACAAGCAGTTTGGGTGCAGAAGTTCTAAAACAAACACAGCCTTCAAATTATTTGTCACTCTTTCTTTGAGATATGGGCTTTTGTTTTAGCTCTTTGGGTCCAGGTGGGCTTGTGACTGCTTCAGTCAACTGACGATTGCAGAAGTGACACAACAGTACTCTGAGAAAAGGTCATAAAAAACATGTAACTCTGCCTAGTTTTCTTGGGAGGCTGACCCTCTGGAAGTTCTATGCTGAGGTATCCCCTCTCAGAATTCAGCTGTGAACTGTGAGAAGTTGAAGCTATATGGAGGGTTCTGGCATAGAAGCTCTTGACAATTCCAGATAATTCCTGCTTTTGAGTAATCCCAGCTTGGTCACTAGGCATGTGAGTGAAGGTGCCACTGGATAATTCCAGCCCTCAGCCATTTGATTTACCACCAGCCATTTGAGCATTTTGACTTAAGATGTCATAGGGCAGAGAAGACCCATCCCTGCTGTGCCTTTTCTGAATCCCTGGCTCACAGAATCCATGAGCCTAGTAAAATTGTTGTTTTGTGCCAATAAATTTGGGGTTTATTACACAGTGATAAATAACTGGAATACTGGGCTCAAAAATGGTATCCAGCTATATGCTGTTTTCAAAGACTGATAAAGAATATTAAAAATGAAGGGGTGTTCCAAGACTTTAATAAATAAAATCAGTAAAGAGAGAGAGAGAGAGAAAGAGAGCTAGCATCAGAGAGACAAAGGCAGACAGATGCACAGACGTAGAGAGGTATAAAGAGACAGGAATAGAGACTGAAAGAGTCAGAGTCCTATGCACAGAGATACTCTCATATTCCTTGAACAGAAAATATACATGAAAAAAAAATCCTCATCCAAGAACATATTTTTTGATTTTTCAGAGAGAGAGGACAAGAGAAACATAGTTGTCAGAGAGAAACATTAATTGGCTGCCTCCTATACCTTCCCCAGCTGGAGATTGAACTTGCAACCTAGGTATGAGTCCTGAATAGGGATTGAACCTGCAACATTTTGGTGTATGAGAAGATGCTCCAACTAACTGAATTATACATTTTAATAAACTCAACAATATGCTTCTGCAAAGAAACTTTTAATAAATATTAAAAAAGTAGAAAATTTCATCCATTAGTTTAAAATCTCTAATACATTTTAAAAAATTAGAAATAATTCCTTCATTTTCTAATAATAATGAATATATTATATAAAAACGAATGACTGTAAGAAACAACTTTTTTCTTAGATATGACACCCATAGTACAAGCAACAAAAGAAAAAATAGATACATTGGACTTCATTAAAATAAAAAAAAGACACATGGGACTTCATTTAAAAAAAACTTTTGTGCTTCAAAGGACACTGTCATGAAAGTGAAAAGAAAATCCACACATGCGAGGAAATGTTTGCCAATCAGATATCTGGGAAGGGACTAGTGTTCAGAATATATAAAGAACTAAAATTCAACAACAGCAAAATAATACAAAGAACCCAATTAAAAACAGGTAAATAACTTAACAGACATTTCTTCAAAGAAGACAGGAAGTGCATGAAAAGATTCTCAATATTATTAGTCACTAGGGACATGCAAATCAAAGCTACTATGTGATATTAATTCATACCCATGAGATTGACTATAATAAAAAAAAAAAGGCAGACCGTAAAGCATTGGGAAGGATGTGGGGAAACTGAAACTCTTATACAATGCTGGTGGTAATGTAAAAATGGCAGAAGCACTTGGTAAAACAGTTCAGAACTTCTCAAAAAGTTAAGAACAGTTATCATGTGACTCACTGCGTGCACTCCTAAGTATATACCTCAAAGAATTAGATAGTAGTAATGGTACACAATTTTGGAATGTATTAAAACTCACTAAATTATGTATCTTAAAAGTGTGAGTTTTATGGTAGGTGAATTAAATCGCAATAAAAAAAAGATGATGATGGCCTCATAAGATTGGTGCCTAACTGCGTTTCCACCCAATGACCCTGTCATTTACCAGGCTATGGATATATACTGACTTCATTTTCTTTTTATGGAACCAGTTAGACATATTTCAATACAAAGATCTTGTACTTGTGATGCCTTTGTTAAGTGTTTTTGAATATCACTTCCATTCTATTAAAGTGACTATCACTTTAAAGTGATCTTTTAAAATGCACATGGTGACGCAATACTTTGATATTAACTTATCATAATAACAGTTGTTAAAGCAGAAGTTTTAGCATTGGCACCGACTGGAACAGACAACACATTTCCAAGCGAGGAACTGGGCCAGACCTCACATTTGCAAAGGAAAAGGTATCTTGAATCTGGTCATATGATTCTTCCATCCTTCACTAATATCAGGGGTTTAAAGGATCAGGGGCTGGTGAATAAGGGAGGGAGATTTCATTTGGAGAGAGCCAGTGCTGCACTGTGAGCCTCTCCACTCCCACATAAGAGGAGAAAAGTGTGTGAGTTTTTCCTCTTCATCTCACTCCCAGAAAGAGGGATTTTAAGGAGTTCACTCAGCAAATTATACATTGTCTGTATTTTGTGGGGACCCAGCTGATTGGTGCATATTTCCTCCTAAAGAACCTAAGGGATGAGCCATTGGCTTGCATTGGCAAAGAAGAGATTTTACTCCTCCTGCATATCCCAAGTTTCTTGGGAAAAGATGAGGGAATATTTCCCAAGAACTGGAGGGGGGTCAGGTGTGAAAGATTTCTGATGTGGGGTTGCTTAGGTTCTGTCCCAGAGGGTCACCTGGAATGGTAAATGGCCTTTGGCAGGAAGAAGCTGGAGGACAGGATTCTTCCAGGATGTGGAAGGTGTAGGAAGGAACTTGCTGTTATCAAGGGAATTTCAGGGCAGTGATAGGGTGAGAGGGGAATTATCTTCGTAGTGCCCACCAAGGCTCTCATGACAGAAAGTGTTATAACTTAGGGACGTAGAGGATAAATGACAACAATAGCATCGGTCAAGTACAGACTCTCCTGCTTCTCTTTCCTCTTTCTTTTGGTCTCCAATGGCAGCAAGTTTGGGCAAAGAAGAGCAGAAGTGTTAGGTGGGGAAGAGGACTGACTGCAGGCTTCCGACAGGGAAAGAGCTTGACCCAAGGGAGGAACACAATCCAATAGTAACTCAAGTCTGGAGTGCTTACTCTTCCATAAGGTTATTGAGTTGAGACTACAGTTTATATCTTAGGAGTCATATGAATTGGAAAAGTTTCTGCCCAAATTTTTATTCTCTCTCTGCCATGACTTTAGCGCATATTCTCACTCCTTAACTTAAACAGAAACATTTATATGATGCTTTATAAGCCATGAGGTACTGTTACATTCATTACCTTATTCAATCCCCGCTCCCTCATGAAGTCAGCATTATTATCCTCACGTTATAGAGGAAAATAGTGAGAACTGGCTAGGTTCTGGAAGAGCCCCCTTTGCTGACTTCATGAGAGCGTTTCTTTCTTGGTTAAGGTGGAGTGGTAGTTGTCAGCATTGCGCATTACTGTTACTCCCCCACCCTTATGCTGCCTACTTTCGAGTTCCAACTCTGGGTGATTTGAAAATTACCCCTTTACCTTCACATATGTCCAAGGGGAACGTGAGGACTCGCTCCCCTGATTGAGAATGGTATCCAGGCTTGCAGGTACAGTACCCGTCAATGTCACAGAGGGCATTTTGGGGGCATGGAGGACAGGAACCTGCAGGGAGAGGAGAGACAGGTGGTCAGATGTCACCTGGGTCAAACACTCTCCAGTTATCATTTGGCTCCGCCTCTGAGCAGGGCCTCTGGAGGCCGAGGGAGCCTACACTTTTTTCCTTTTGTGAGATCTCAGTACAGTGAAAACATTAGAAGTACTACTTATATACCTTACGAAGTGATCATTCCAGTAAGTGTAGTACCCACCTGACGCCATACATAGTTACTACAGTGTTGTTGACTATATCCCTTATGCTGTACTTTATATCCCTGAGGATGATTTTATAACCGGTAATCTCTTTCCCTTTTTCACCCACCCCTCCAGACTCCACCTATGTGGCAACCATCAGTTTGTTCTCTGTATCTATGAGTTTGTTCATTTTGTTTTTTAGATTCCACATATAAGTGAGAACATATGGTAATTGCCTTTCTCCATGTTGTCGCAAATGGTGAGGTTTCATAAATGTCTGATCAATTAAGTTGTATGCCTGAAACAAATATAATATTGTATGTCAACTATAACTAAAAAGTAAATTAAAAAATAAAAAAGAAATAAAAAACCAAAAAAAGAAAAAAAAAAAAAAGAGAGAGAGAGAGACAACCAAACCCAAGGTGCAGAAGAGTGCATGATGTAGGACTGGGGTTGGCATTAAATTAATTCGAACACAAAAATTTCGATGCAATATAATTGTGTTATTCTCATGATCACTGAAGATTTAATAAAAGGGGAATGAGTTGGTTAAGACTTGGGATCCTGGATTCAATTCTGGTTTTACTCCTTAATAGCTGTGTGTCTTTGCACAAGTGTCTTAAATTCTCTGTGCCTCAATTTCCTCATCTGTAAAATGGGTTATTGTGAGAAGTGAATTAATACATACAAAGTGCTTTGGGCAGTGTCTGGTACATATGACTATAAAAATTTGAATTTGTAGGGTATCATGGGAGGTATATTCTGTTACTGGTACATGTTATTTTTGTAGCTCTATGTCTAACTTCATTTAGACAAAGTTACACTAAATGTCTTAATTTGAGGCCACTTGAGAAAGAATGGAAAGAATGGTGCTGAGGAAATGCCTCAAGCTTTGGGGCTAGTGAAGAGATGTGGGAGCTGCGAAAGGACCCTGGGCAGTGGGTCCTGGGAACACAATGGGGAAGCACTATGCAGTGCCTGGTTACTCAGAATGCATCCCTTCACCAGAAATGCAGACTCTCAGACGCCATTCTGGACCTGCTGAATCATAATCCAGTGACATCTCCAAGGAATTAAAGCTAACCTGAAATGACCTTATTAATTTTGTGTTGATGTGTATGATCAGAATGAAATGGTGACCACCATGCACTGTCTCTCTTGACTAGTCTCACTTCATGAGACTTTGTTTTATTCACTGTTCTGTGTCCACATTGGGAACATTGTGGGTACTAAAAACAAACAAATAGACTATTATAAGTAAAATAAAAAGACAGACTAAAAGATATCCAAATTTGATGAAATGATCCATTAAAAAAGAAATAACATAGGAACAAGCCTGCCCAACTTCTGTCCCCTAAATAAGCCTCTCTCCTCGAGCCTCTTGGAGGATGTGGGTGGCTCAGGTTCATCCTTAGTCCGCACCCTGTGATGGTGGAAGTCAGACTTTGAACACTCACCACTCACCTTTGGCTTTCTGAACAATGACTCCTGGCAAACTCAGCAGAATGCAGAGTCCTGGAACAGGGAAGCAGAAGGGAGAGAATTGAAACTATTGAGGAAAGATCCCAGAAGTTTTTCAAGGGCTCTATATCAGTTACCTATCACAACTAGCCATCACAAGGGTAGCAGCTTAAAACAACACTCATTTTATTCTCTCTCATTTATTATGATTTCTGTGGACCAGGAATCTGGGAAGAATTTAGCTGGGTGATGCTGGCCCAGGGTTTCTTACATTGTTGCAGTTAGACGGTGGCTGTGAGGGAGTGGCTGAAAACTGGGCATTACTGTCCCTTCATGAGAGCTCAGGGCCTGGGATAGTTTGAACTTCCTCCCAACATGGTCAGGCTGTGCAGGAATCAAAGTTTAACCCATGTCCACCCAACTAGTCCACCCTCATCTACACCTATCACTCTACTTGGCAAACAGAGATCCTTCCATTACTAGGACCCACTTTTTAAAAATCTTTATTGATGTATTGTCCTGGTTGGTGTGGCTCAGCTGGTTGGAGTGTCATCTATAGACTGAAGGATCACAGGTTCAATTCCTGGTCAGGGCACATGCCTCGGTTTTGGGTTTGATCCCTGGTTGGGTGCATACGAGTAGGCAACCAATCCATGTTTCTCTCTCACATAGATGGTTTCTCTCTCTCTTTTTCGCTCTCTCTTTCCTTTCCTCTCTCTCTAAAAGCAATGAAAAAAAATCCTCAGGTAAAGATTTTAAAGAGCTTTATTGAGGTATAATTGATATACAAAAATCTAACACATATAGTGTATACATCTTCCTGAGTTTGGACATACGCATACACCATATACCCATGATACTGAAAGGGGATAGAAACTGAGGGGTCCCCAGAATCCCCATAGCCCTTGGTTGGGGGATGGAGGGAGCAGATGATACAGCTTAAGATACTTTTCATAACAAAGGTTAGTTTAATAGCTGTACTACCACCTCAGGGCAAGGTGAGCATGACTTTCAGGATTGACTCCTGATGTAGCAAGGTAGGCATTCTCCCTGGTTCACTGAGTCACTCTTGCCCTGACTGGGGATGGCAGCTGAGAGAATGTAAACAATATAGGAGAACTGGCAAATGTAGCACATTGTGGAAGGAGTTGGAAGTGAGGTCACTTAGGGGGCTCCAGGTCAGGGTTTAAACTAAGGGGGAGTAACCATGAGGGAATTTGGCCATGCGGTTTGCAAGCAGAGTAGTGAGGAAGGAGGGCCATAATGTAGCAGCTATGTAGTTTGGGGGTCTGGAATTCTGCCATGCATTTTGTCTCAATTTTCCCCCTTTGCCCTCCTCCACCCATCCTATCCTGCCCCCCGCTCCCACAGTCAATTCCCACTCTGTTGCCCATGTTCATGGGTCATTCATACATGTTCTTTGTTTAGTCCCTTCTCCTTCTTTCCACCATTGTCCTCCTTCTCCATCCCCACTGGTCACTTTCAGTCTGCTCCGTCTTTATATGCCTGTGGTTTACCTTGTTACTTTATTTTGTTGGATAGATTCCACTTATAGGTGAGATCGTATGGTAATTGTCTTTCACTGACTGGCTTATTTCACTTAGCATAATATTCTCCAGTTCTATCCTTGTTGTTGCAAAAGGTAGGAGTCTTTCTTTCTTATTATTTTTTAAATGCAGATTGTATTTATTTATTTATTTTTAAATTTCAAAATCCATTATAAAATATTAAAAAATTTAAATCCATTATAAAGTCTCAGCAATTAAAACAACATAACACCAGCACAGAAATAATCAAGTAGATCAATGAAATAAAATGAGCATTCTAGAAACAAATGTATATATCTGTCTAACAATGTAATATATGATTAAATTGATGTTTCAAATCATTGGGGAAAATAAGGCTTATTCAACAAATAAGGTGCATGGACAACTATTACTTGAAATAAACCAAATATAGAGCCCTATTTCACACATTATACAAAAAATATTCAGGTGAATTAAAAATCAATATGTAAAATCTAAGGAGTTTTAGGAGAAAATGCAAAATAACATTTTTCTTACCCTGAAGTAAAATATTCAAACCCAGAAGCTATAAAGTAAAATATTGGCAGTATGACTATATTAAGCATTTAAGGCTATATAGTAATATACATATAAAAAAGTTAAAGGACAAGTAATAGAATAGGAAAGTATTTGCAACACATCTAAAAAAAGGGTAACAGTTTTTTTCTTTAGAGAAAAATTTCTACAAACATTTAACCAGAAAATGGATAAGGAATACCAAAAACTCATTTAAAGCTTTTTAAAAATAATAGAAATAGGCAAGAAATATACAAAAACAGTTTTAGTTTCAACAAATAATAAAGGAACAATTAAAATGCATCATTGTCACAATCAGATTGATAAGTATTAAAAATATTGGTAATATCAAGTATTGGTGACTGTGAAAGGAACTGGGTATTCATAGACTCTTTTTCTTCATTTTTTTAAAGCAGTCCTTTTAGCATATTTTGCAATGCTGGTTTGGTGGAGGTGTGTTCTTTTAGCCTTCTTTTGTCTGGGAAACTTCTTGTTTCACCTTGCATTTTAAATGAGAGCCTTCCTGGGTAGAGCAGTCTTGGTTGCAAACCTTTGCTTTTTATTACTTGGGATATTTCTTGCTGTTCCCTTCTGGCTTGCAGTATTTCTGTTGAGAAGTCAGCTGTTAGCTGTACCAGGGCTCCCTTATATGTTATTACCTCTTTCTCCCTTGCTTGCTTTAGGATTCTCTCTTTGTCTTTGATATTTGCCATTCTAATGATGATGTGTCTTGGAGTGGGTCTCATTGGGTTCCTCTTGAATGGGACCCTCTGTGCTTCCAGGACTTGTGTGACTTTTTCCCTCTTCAAATTAGGGAAATTTTCCATCATTACTTTTTCAAACAGTTTCTCTATCCCTCCTTTTCTTCTCCTTCTGGTATCCCTATTATATGGATATTATTATATTTGAGGTTGTCCTGCATTTCCCTAAATGCCTCTTCATTGTTTTTGAGTATTTTTTCACTTTCTTGCTCTTTCTGGGAGCTTTTTTCTACCTTGTCCTCCAGCTCGCTGATTTGATCCTCTGCTGCATCTAGCCTGCTTTTGATTCTTTCTACTGTGTTCTGCAATTCAGAAATTGTATTCTTCATTTCCTCTTGTGTCTTATTGATAGTTTCTATGTCCTTTTTCATGCTGATATATTTTGCAGATAGTTTCCCTGTCGTTTTTTGTAATTCTCTCTGAGCTCACTGAGCTCATTGAGCTTCCTTAGAACTGTTGTTTTGAACTCAGTATCTGATAGTTTACTTGCCTCTGTTTCATTTAGTTCTCTTTGTGGGGATTCCTCCTTTCCCTTTGACTGGGGGTTATTTCTTTGTCTTCCCATTATTTGTGAGATTCTTCTTTTTTGCTTCTTCTTAAATTGATCTGTTTTGATTTTCTGACTTTGTGGTGTGAACTTCTATCGTAGGAGAATGCTGTTTTTTCTTTCTGGATCTGCCTCTGATGATGTCAGTTGTTGACCCTGTCTGACCTGAGGCAGTCTGTTTGAGACTTCCAGGAATCTACTGTCTGTGGCTGTCTCCTTCAACTGTTAATCTAGTTACTATGCATTCAGCAGGCCAGTTTAGACACCACAGGGTGGGGCAGAGTTCTTCCTGGGGACAGAGTTATTGGGTCGTCTCATGCTGCTGCCCCTCAGGGGAGTGATCTGCCTGAGCTAGATGGTTGTTGCTGTATGGGTGAGGAGTCAGCACTGGGATACCACTGGGTACTCTCCCCATTCTCGCCACAAAGCCTCCATCTGCAGTCTCTCCTCATGTAACTCCAGATCACTCTATGCCTCCTTTAGCCAGAGATCTACCATCTGTGGCTGCCACTTGTGCTCAGCAGTCAGGCTTTAGCACTATCAGGCCAGGGCTGAGTCCCTCCCAGTGGCAGGGCTTTTATGTCCTCTCATGCTGTTGCCACTCAGGGGAGTGGTCTGCGTGAGCAAAATGGCTGCTGCCATTTGGGAGATGAGTCAGCACTGGGATCTGGCTGGCTACTCTCTCAGTTTTCTCCCCAAAGCCTCCTTCTCCAGTCTCTCCTCAGTCATCTCCAGCCCACTCCCACTCCAGAGACCAGGGTAAGTGGCTGCAAATAGAAATTTATGCGTTGGCTCATTAAGTGGCTCTTTGCATCTCTAGCCACCCATCTCTGGTAGCAACTGGCTGTTATCTGTGTATTTTTTGGGCTCTGGTGCTGTAGGCTGGGGATCCCCACTTATAGTTTATATCCCGCTCATCTCAGGGGGATCCAACTGGCTGTTTCAATATCTTTCTCATCCTGCTGCCCATGAGCATCCCGCCCACCTTTTCAAGTCTCTACTGTGCTCCTTATCAGTTAGGTTGTACTGAAGCTGATGATTCTGTCTGTCTGAGATTAGAAGGCTCCTCTCTCAGTATTGTTCAGTTGTTTGTTCCAGGTGATTTCTCCACAATTTAGTTGTAATTCCAGATTGGTCCTGGGAAGAGGTCAGTGTGACTTCCACTCACTCCTCCACCATCTTGATTCTGCTGCCATGCGCTGCCTATAGTGAGGGATTTAGCCATGTGGCTTGGAAGGGAGTTGAAGAGCCTTGAGAGAGGAATGATGCAGCAGCCATGTGAGAGGGAGAAGTGAGCAAGCAGCTATGTAGTTTGTAGTCAGGATCTGGCCATGTGGCCTGGTGTATTAAGGAAGGAGACATTTGCTGCTCTGATTGTGCCTGCCCTAGCTGACTCTGAAGACTCTCCTTTGCAAGACACTGAACTACTGTCATGCAAATTCAGACTCTATCTGGACTCTTGGGACTTATGTCTTTTCTGGACTATTACATGGATGACAACGTACCCCAGGAGAGAACTACTGCAAGAGGATGGAGATTCTGATCTAGAGCAGATGGAGAACTCTTTGCACACTCAGCTTAAGATAAGAAAATGCCAAACTATTGGTCTTGCTTTTGGCTTATAGCCTTTTGGGGAACAAGGGAAATGCTGGGTCTCATGGGAGAACAGGGCTCCCAGCTGAAGTGCTCCCAACCCCCCTACCCCCCCGCAAGGTTGGAATATTGTAAATAAAAACCTGTGTCTTCCAGCATTAATTGTTGGGTCATATACCAAAGTGCCACGTGGACTGGCCCCGTCTGCTCAGTTACAATACCATCACTACAATCAATGTACTAAATCATATCCAACACCTCCGAACATTTCCTTATGTTCTTTTGCGTTTTTCTTTTCCCTTTGGGTAGTAGCCCTTTCCATGAAATCTACCCCTTTAACATGTATTTTGAAATGCACAACACTGCATTGTTAACTGCGGGTTCCATATTTTACAGTCGATCTCTGGAACTTATTCATCTTGTACAACAAAAACTTTACACCATGGAAAAAAAACTCCTCCTTTCACCCTCCCCCAGCCTCTGGCAAGCACGATTTTATTTTCTGTGTCTATGAGTTTAACTACTTTTGATACTTCTTACAAGCAAAATTGTGCAGTATTTGTCCTCTGTGTCTGGTTTATTTCACTTAGCATAATGTCCTTGAGAGTCATCCATGTTGTCACAAATGGCAGGACTTCCTTCTTTTTAAAGGCTGAATGATATTCAGTTGTATGTATATACTATATATTTTTTTATCCATTCATCTGTCTGTCAGAAATCTTCCATAAATGCTAGCTGCCTCCATTACCATGTTATTTGCATGAGAGTTTCTTTCTAATTCTTGACCTAATGCTCATTTTATTCCATTGTCTGTTCTTTCCAGTTATGAGGGCAGAGAGATCATGGATAACCAAAATTCACAAATAACTTATCTCTGAAGCGTCTAGGATTCTGCCTCTAGTTGCCCCAAAGCAGGAAATATCTTGTTCCAGTTTTTCTCATTTAAATTGCACACTCTCTCACTTAAATTTGATTCCACAGATACATAATGGACATCTCTTCAGTGTATGATGTTGTAGGAGGGGCTGCAAAGTTGAAGGGACATGACATTTGCTTTCAAGTAGCTTATGTTATTTTTTAATAGAATTTATGGTGTATCACTCTTTTTGCAAATAAATAACTGTGAGACTTTAAACAAGGCTATAACCTTTTTATGATGTCATTTCACATCTGTAATGTGAAGATGCTGTGTGATAATGAGTGTAAAACAATTTTAGCTTGATGCCAGGCTAAAGTAGGAACTTGGTGAATGTTAGCTTTGGTTGGTATTGTGGCCGTTGATAGTTACTTGATCTGGAGCCAGAAGGATGGAATGGATTTCAGAGTTGGGGAACAATCTGCAAAGAAGTGGTTGAAGCCACAAGATCATAAGATTCCTTGGCATTATAGCAAAGATCTGGAGCCAGCCAGCTTGGGTAGAATCCTGGCTCTGCCATTTATAAGGTATGTGACTTTGGACAAATAACATAACCTCTTTGTGCCCCAGTTTTCTCATCTGCATGGTGGGGATAATAATAATACCTGCCTCATGGACCTACTGAGAGGATTAAATGTGTTAATACATATAAGGTACATATGAATACTCAAAAATATTGGTTGTTATTAATAATATTCTTGGTACAGAAAAAGGAAAAAGGTGGGGGAGAAAGAATAATAAGAGATACAGAGAAAGAGTCAGTGTAGTGTTAGGTCATGGAAGTTTTCAAGGAGGAGAGGATATCAATTAGAAAACGAAACCTGTATAGAAGAAAATGAACAACATATTAAATTAAACCATAAGGAAAATTTTAGGGATATTTGGGAGCATAGTTTATATAAGGTGGTGAAGTAGGAAACCATAATTTATGAGAACAGGAGACTGTTCAAGGCAGAGTGGAGGAAAGAGGGGGAGGTAAAGACAGCTATTGTTGAATTGAGTAGCTCCTGCTAAGAGGTAGGTTAAGGTATAGTCATTGTCAAGGTTACACATACCTGGGAAAAGTGATGGCCCTCGCATTCCTGCATGCAGGTAACCCGTGCCAGCCAACTCTCAATACTCTTCTCTGCTTTAAGTCAGCAACTTTTCCTGTCCCAAGGAAACCTAATGAGAATTAACATAGGGACCTCAGGTCAGCTGACTTAGGAAATTGTTCTCAGAAAAGTGAACTTCTTTCACCATGAGACCCACTGTTCTGCTTTTTTGTTGTTTTATATTCTATGCACTGACTTAGGGAATTGTTCTCAGAAAAGTGAACTTCTCGTCTTTCACCACCAGACCCATGGTTCTGCTTTTTATTTGTTTATTTTCTATGATTTTTCTGCACTAGTTTACATATACTCCCTTTGGAGTGTCATGGGACAGGCACGAGCAGGAGCAGGTCTGCCTCAGGCTTGTAGTGTGTGGGTTCTTGACTTTGTGTAGGAAAGATTTCACACGTAAGTCCAGGTGATTGTGAGAGCACATTTATTAAGGCTGGAGACAGCGAAACAAAGGAAGGGTTTCGGGTAGAAGAAGCAACAGGAGAGAGCCTAGGCGGTGCTCTGCTTTGGCTCCCTAGAAAAGTTATAGGAAAGGAATGAGTCCTAGGTGGGGTTGTTGTTAGGTCACCTGGAAGTCAGAGGAAAAAAGAGCCTTGTGAAAGGCTGAAGCCGGCACCATATACTACTGTGGCATGGATGGGGGACTCAAATGTTGGAAAAATTTTAGTTTCAAGTAATAGCTAATAAGTTTAATAAACAATGTATATAAAAAGCTATTGTTTCAGGAACTAAAGGTATGACCCAGCTTGACTCCAGGAGATCTTAAACAGTTCCACCTTTGTTGCCCCAGGAGGACTGCAAACAATCGAGATGGGATCTGAGCCATTGTGCTCCAGGGAGAGACCTCTGTCCACCACCCAGGACACAGAGGAAAGAATGCTGCAGCTTTCATCTGATTAACCTTTCCCCTGAATTCCAATCCTCTTACCCACACTTTTCTTTTCTTTATAAAGAGGGTCAGTTTAAAATGGAATGTAAGACAGCCCGTGAGGGTACAAATCCTCCATCTTCTCAGATCGCCAGCCATCTGAGTAAAGCACCCATAAAGATTCAATCCCTGCCTCTGTTTACTGGGTCTGGTAGGTGACAGGCAGCATGAACACTGGCTCTTCTGGTTTCAGCTCCAGAAGTGCACAACACTGCATTGTTAACTGTAGGTTCCATATTTTACAGTTGATCTCTGTAAGATCGGGAGTTTTGTTGAGCATGCCTATGACCTTATTAAACATGACCACCATTTTACTCTTCTGAGCTTATGTCCCCAGGACTAGAAATTACTGGAAAGCAAGAACAGAATGTGAATAACTGCCCACCCCTCACAGCTGCAGGCAAAAGATAATATTGGAGCTTATGCAAAACCGCCTGAAACCTCCTGTGTTGCAAAACCCACAACATCCCAGGAGCCACACAACTGCCCTTTTTAAACCTGTCACCCTTTTTAAATCCAGTTATAAACCAATAAAACCTCAAAGCCCCCACCTCTCAATGCTGGTGTACTTCTCCACACCAAGCCCCTCTCTTCTCTTGGAGAGTGAATAAAAACTTTACTCTTCACTTTCTTCTCTTTGTTAATTCTTTTACAGCCTGCAGCACCGACCACCCTAACACCTTGGACAAAGGATCAGGTGGTAAGTCTGGGTTGAGCTGCTGCTGCCCACTGCTCCCCTGGCTGCAAGTCTCCTTGGTACCCTTAGAGTTTAGAAGGAAATAAAAATACCCGAGAAGGGGCAAGAGTGTGCTTGAAAGTGAGCCCACCCCGGGACTTTTTCCTGAGAGCTTTTACGCTTTCCTTTTTTTTGAGTGAGAATTTTAAGGAAGGGTTTCACCAGAATATTCATCAGCTTTCCAGGTGCATTTTTAATATTCTAATGTGTCAAAATGAGCACATAGGGAGGTTTTGGGCATATTCTTCAGTCCACTATACTGTTTTATTTTTATATTGAGTCTGACTTTTAATGGGGTTTTTGTTATTTGCTCCCCTGACTTCATCTCCCATGGGTTTAGCTGGCACAAATGACATTAATTGGGTCTCTGTTCTCTATTTCCTGAGCAGGGTGATTTAAGCTATGTATTCTTTGGTTATGGAGGAGAGGTACAAACCATTTATTCTCAGGTATCCTTGGTTAGGGAAGATAAGTTCTTGTGACTCATCAGCTGACTGTAAGTTGCTCAAACTGTCTGGCCTTGTTTAATTTTTTTGTCTCAGTTTCCCCATTCCACTTGCTGAGGAATTTTCCTAGCCTCTTACTATCCTACCTCAGTAGTAGGTTTTACTAGCTATTCTTGATTGTTTTTGGAATGACAGAATCACTTGACTCTGGGAAAGGAATGCTCTTAGTTACATAGCATTGTCTGAGGAGCAGGAAGTGACTTTGGAGTCAAAATAAACCTTAAATAGTCCTATGGTTTTGAGCTGGGTAAGCCAGAATTTAGGGTATCTCTGTTGGTATATAAAGTTTCTGGAGGAGTCATTTTCACACATGTTGAGAACTGCCACCCACCCCGCCACCCCAAAGATATCATTCAGCAGATCTTATTGGAGTCTCAAAGTCTAGTATAAGGTGATATATTATTTGGTGATGTGGAGCAATCCAGACCAAAAGCAGGATTGGGGAGAAAAGGCCTCTAAGTTGTTCCCTCCATCAGCAAATATTTATTAAGACAAATATTATTAAGTGACAGAACATGCACTACCTTATAGGGATATAGCAGTGAACAAAGTTAATACAATCTTTTCTACATAGAACTTAGACTTTCTTTAGTGGGGAAGCCAGATAGTTAAATAAGTATAATCCATACAAAGCTGACCTGCCTCAGCTTTGTTCGCCGTGAGAAGGTGGTGCTTCTTTGAACACCAATCCAAAAAATACAAGATCCAAACAATACACAAAAAGGCAATTACTAAATCATCACAAACTTGCAAATAGTGATTCCATTCATAATACACAGAAAAATGTCTTAAAGTCATTTCTTTCTTGTCTCTGAAGTAAGGAGGCCACATCCTAACTCTTTTTTTTTCTTTTCTCTCTTTGAGTTGTGTTGGAGAGGAGTTTGGAGGAAATTTGAAACATTGAAGGTTTTAAAGCAGTATGATTGGCTGTGTTCGGGGGGAACTTTTCTGGATGCTTTATGGATTGGAGGCAGGTGTGGACATGGGGATTTCCGTTGGACAATGATCCAGGCCGAGATAGGGCACTTTTGCAGCATCTTCTATATAGTCTCCCTGCTTTCTTTGTAACCCTGCTTGAAAACATTCTCAACCAAGCAGCCAGAGTGATCATTCAAAAGAAATTACACTTTATCACTCCCCTGCTTGAAACGCTTCTAAGGCCCTTCATCACGCTTAGGATAAAAACCAGACTTCTTACTATGGCCTGTAAGTCCCTCTGTGATTTTCCCTCTTCTCCATCGTAAACTTTATTGGCTACGACTCCCACCCTGCTCCGTATACCTCAGCCCCAGGGGTCTCTTCTGTTCCTTGAGCACATCAAGTCTTTTCTACCTTAGGATAGAGTGCTTTCCACCTTAACACTCACATTTGCCTCCTTTTGTGTCTTTCATGTCTCAACCCAAACTCATTTCTTTCAGATTGCTGTTCCCTGACCACCCTACTAAAGGAAGTCCTGTCTAATTATACTCGGTCTCCTTATTTATTTCTGTAATTGTATTATCCAAATCTGTGACTATCTTGTTTGTTTGCTTCTGGTCTGTCCTCCTTCTGGAATGTAAAGCCATGAAGTTTTCTTATCTACCTTGCCTCTCATGATATCATTGCTGCATACATAAATTGATGGATCAATTGGAATCTATAGGACTTGGAAGAGGATGGGGGTTGGGGGTGGTGGTAAGAGAGAGGAGTTAACTCCTAGGTTATTATAATAATAATAATAATTATTATTATTTGCTTAGGCAACTTGGTGGGCCATCATCATCACCACCATCACCACATCCACCTCCACTACCTTCATCACCATCATCATCATTAGCACTACCATCATCCTCACCACTGGAACTGGTTTTGCTAAGAATACCAACGATCTCCTTAATGCTCTGCCTTGTGAATAGTTTCCAGTGTTAATTCAGTCTGATCTCCTTCCTTGCCCTCTACCACACCATACTCTACTCATTTCCCCATCCACACTTGCCCTGTCTTCTCTATTAGCCATTCCTCCACTAGTTGATTTTTAAATACTTACTCAGGGCTATGTTTTCTCTCTGCAATCTCTCCCTATATACCATGGCTTTAACTATCATCTGTTGTCTGTGTGTATGTGTATGGGGAGAGCCCTCTCTTTTGTGATCCAGGCTATATATATAACTTATATTGGAATCACAGCACCTCAGAATCAACTTGTCCAAAACGGAATTCTTTCTTTCCCCTGAAACCAGCTTTTTTCTCCAATGTTCCTTTTCTCTGTAGCAAAGTGGCATTCCTGTTCTTTCTTCCTAGTGATCATCTGGGGTTGGAGGCAAGAGTTGATCAAAAAGACTGGTGGTGCCACCTAATGGTTAGGCCAATGTTATTACAATGTTGGCTTTAAAGACAGGCTGTCCAGGTTCAAATCTTGGCTCTGCCAATTAATACTATGTGACTTGGGGAAAGTTACTCAACTTCTCTGTCCCTCAGGCTTCTCGGACCTTGGATAACTTCAGCAGTCTCCTAACTGGTGTCCTTCTCTCCTGTTCTCCGCCCTGCAGCCAGAAGAGCTTTCTGAAACATGAATCTGAACTTATCACACCCTTGCCTCACAGCCCCACAGATCTTTGGCAGGTTAAATGTGTTTAGTAGACACATAAGGTCCACCTGATCTCGCTCCAGTCCACCTCTCCAGCCTCATCTCCTGCCTTTCTTCCCCTGGCTGCCCTGAGCTAGTCGCTCTTCTCAGCCTGCAGGCCTTTGCACATGTGGTCCCATCACCTGGGATTGCCTCCTTTCCTCCACTGTGCTGCCCCAGCCAAGTCCTTCAAGTGTGTGTTCTTTTGTCTATCCTTACTTAACCCCTAGAACCCCACTCTGCCCACTTCT